CGAGATTTACCGGGAAGGGGATGAACCTAGAACACACCCCTAGACTCATTCATCCGTCTCGGATGCCACAGGAAACGGCTTATTCTGTCTCTCTTCTTGAGTCTCTTCTACAAGAGGGTGGAATTAAAGGTGGCGATAAGTCCCAAACGTAATTGCACTGGGGAGTCTCAAGTGGTTATAAGCACTGAGAACAGTACCGAGTGCTTCAATGTACTTCCACCAAACCAGGCAAATATTGTTTACGCTCGTTGATATTCAGGGATTGCCATTTTAACGGGAATAGATGAGTTCATCTCCTCAAGTTATTGCCAACCTTTATTATGCGGTCAATTCATTCCTACCGCGTATAATGATGAATTAAATGCCTTTGAGAAATTATTCTTGGATTCTGAAATTCATCCCTCCAAAAATCACTAATTGGCTATTATTATTCCGGTAGCGACAATTGAATTTATTTCGGTAATTATTTTTGAAATAATTACCCAAAGACATATATCCACATTGTTATATAAATAATAAAATAAATAATATAGATAATGGAAAAAAAATATTGCGGGACTGTGACAAAGAGTCTGTATTGCCCTTTGATGTTTATTTTATGAATTATAAAATTTTTATAGCCCCTGAATTATAGTATCCACGACGTTGCACCCTTGGGAAATACATCTGGCGGATAGTGGCGGAACCGATAATGCCCTTCCGGTGGAAATGCAAGCAGATACATGGTTCCGGGTTTGCCTCGATGCTTGAATGTCGACACCCGTGTGGATTTATAATCCGATTGGGCTCAAGTGTTATTGCACAAGTGAGACAGTACCCAGTTATGAGGATGACTAATGACTCATTTGGTCTCGATATAAATGAAAACGGGTGGTGATTTCCATCACGTTCAACCCCTGAAAGCGTACGTGCGCGATAACACTGACGAGAATTTTATCGAATTGAAATTGAAATCGATACTATCGATCACGACCATGCGAGATCGATCATGCGTCTGGAGTAATTTTTATTTTTTTTTTAAGGCTGACAATTTTGTGGGAATTCTTGATTTTTTGGATGATTTTTTGGATGATTGAAAAATTCTGAGACGATGGACTCGCCAACACGTGCAGTTCGCACGTAGATTGTGCAATTTTGTCCCCGAACTTGAATTTCCTACGTGACTACGGCGATCCTACCTTCCTGGGATGATCACCTCCTATCGTACAACCAATCACCGTTGAATTAATGTTGCTATATATCGAGTCAGCCTTTGGTAAGTGTTAGAGACGGCACTTTGTCCGTTCTCTGAGACCGAGTCTCGGTAACGGCCAAATGACCACCAAGTCCCACTATTCCCGAGTTATCCTTATCTTAAATTGTTACCGGAGTTTGCTCTCGTCGTTGTTATGGGGTAAATTGACTTAGGATATTGTTCCTTTGAAGATTTCTCGTTTCTCATCCGAGGAATTCCTTTAGAAATTAGTCCTCAATCTCTGTAAAATAATAATAAATATCAATAACCATCAGAGAAGTCCCAAAAATAATTTTTCCACTTCATAAAAAAAAGAAATGCCAATATGAATATTTTCCCTGTAATGGGAAGATTTTACACTCGAACATGTGAAAAAATAAAAAAAAATGGCAGGGGGAGAAATTATACTGTTCACAGAGTGATTGAAATCCTGATATTAAATATCGATGTGGGGAGGGCATAGGGTGGAACGACGATGGAATTACTCGGGAAATCTAGTGAAAAGTGTGGGAAGGAGATTGGAAGGGTGACATTGAAGTTGGCTTCAGGGTAAAAGACTCGTGAAATTCCAAGTTTCTTTGAAAACTCCAGGGAATTGCTAGTTTTTTAGCAACAGGAAGAGGAAAGTCTCGTACGTTGATTGAATTTTTTCACCGGGGATCAATATTTCTCCGAATTTTTCCAACTCCCAATGAACAATGGAACTCAAATTTCAACACTTGATCGAAAATATTTTTTTATCTGTTCCACCATTTATCATTTACTCATCGAATACTTGGATTATAAAAGCTAAAGAGGGTATAAATAACTCGCACTAATTACGGCGCAAATAAATACTCGAATGAAGGTAGAATGCACCATAAAACGTGTATCGGCATCAATCTGGGGGAATTTATGAACCTCGAGATTCTCATAACGAGGTACTAAGTAGTTGAAAGTCCTGGTGGAAATAATAGCGAACCCCGGTCGTTCTTCCTGGCAAACGAGAGAGGATGCAGAGTTACCTGATAACGATAAGAACTTGGCTCTGCTGTTATTATTATATCTCGCATTACAGTCGAATCTTCGTAATTACGGTTTCGCGGCTCGGAATGCGCCCGAGAGAACCAACTAATTATTAGAGTAGATAATTAACTCACAAATCATTGACTGCACTCGCGGACTCTAAGTCTCTCAAAAATTCTCACTGGAAATTACGCGTGAAATTTTTACTGAAATAAATTATTAATTAATCTAGCAATTGATTTTTCATTAATTCCAATTTTTATTTGTAATCGGGGGATAAATTTGTGTATGAAATCATTGAATAAATTATGACAATAAATTTGTCGACATTTCTATCGTCTGGCATTGACTCACAGAATTTTTTTCTCAGTAATGAAGTCTCTAAAAAACAGATTACATCGGTTGGGAACCATCTGCCTGGGACAGAAGAAAAAGATAGCGATGGAGTCACGTGCATAATTCGCTTCGTAGCCCAAGTGAAATTCAATTTGTCACCTGTTAGCAGAGCTAGCTGTGGAATCACCCGATCCTCGTCCTTTTTTTCCTTTATCCAATACTGCACCTCGGAATATACATTCTGCATTCATTCTGTACGAGGAAAATATCGACTCTCATGTGTGTCGCGAAGTTACTCACGTCCGATGCAAATATCCTATTGTAGATTCCAAGATTTTCCATATTCCATCCATAATCACCGACTGATACGTTTATTCATTATAAATTTTATATAAAAATACAGAAATATTACGATTCGCGCTGGAAACCCATTGAACAATCGTGGGAATTAATTTTTTTAATGGAATTCGTTGTGTTGGAAGATAGAATGAAGTTTTACGAACAAGTGTTCCATTTTTTCACTCAGGAAATAATTTCCGATGGCATTCGAGTTCAAGTGAATAATTGTCATTTTTCCAGTTGTTACAATTAGGATTTTTCAGTGTATTGTACTCACCCTTTTCCACGATTCTCGGAAATGAATTGTTCCAAACAAAGATTAAGACACGTCACTCCGAAGAGTCTAACAATCAGGACAACAGTCAAACTGATTTTTTGTTCTCCACAGGTAGTTATTTTTTTTGTTTTCACGACGAGAGTTGGGACTTCTACCGAAGCGGATTTGTAAAAGTTTTAAGAAACTCGTTCATTCTCCCGACTGTCTCACTCGACCTCTGTATTTCTACTTCACGAACTCGTGAGACTCAGACACTGAAATCACCAATTTTCACCAAACTCAATTATCGAAATTGCCGATACAGTGGAGTACAATTCGTTCGCAGAATTTCGTCATGAATTCCACCAAATGCCATACCCATTATTCATAAATTTCATTGTTTTCTCCTTTTGAATGAAATCTCTCATCACAACGCAATTAATTACCTCCATTGAATCTGTAATAAAAACCATTTTTACTCAATTGTAATTGTTATGCACTATACACCGGGCACTTCATATTGTTGGAGAGAAATTGAGTAATTACTAATTGCGAAATAGGGAAACGACTGAAATTACCTGGACCGCTGGATTTTTCCGGGTAAAATGAATTATTTGCACGGAAAATGGTGCATTTTCTCTGTGAACCCGTTTTATCATAGAAAATGCCAAGAAAAATTCTAGTGCAGTAAATTATGAGACAGAGGATAAATATTTTCTTTTAATTCCATGAATTTTACCAAATATGAGACGGAAAGTAATTTTCATGGAATATTTGGAGAATAAATGCAAATTATCCCCCGCAAAATTCACTGTTATTCCAATAACATGTTAAATTACCGCTGGTTTGCGCATCATTTTTTTTGTCTGCGCTTCAACAATTTCATAACTCCAGAAAAACTTTGTAGTGTATTAGTGTACATCATTGTTATGCAGTCTAGTTTAACCACGAAAATTGGAGTGAGTGGTCCTCTGGAGCAATTATTTGACTTGGTCCATAAGGATAGAGATTTTCTGTCGGGTCGACAACAATATACAACTTCCTATCTCCCCATCTCCGTAATTACTTTCAAAAATGCATCCCAGAGAGGATACGCTGGAGAATAATTGATGGTAATTGGCACGATTCTCACTCCAGAATTTACCGAAAAATTTATTCAACATTTCATCTATTAAACAAATGCGCGACTCCCTTTATGAACATGAATAAAACGGCAAGCAGATTTTTGTTCCATTGTTCCATTTATTTAATGAATAAATAAAAACATTTCAATTATCGAATGTATGTCTCCGGAAAATAAATCAGACTCATTTTTATTTTATTGTTCGGTTCATAAAAAAAAAATGCCAAAGTTGGATTTAAAAGAGAGCAAAGTGGTATAGGAGAACGAAATGATTATTGGCCCTCGGATGTATCCGAAATGGTGGATTCACATCTCTTCAGGTTCTCCCTCGTGGTAGATACAGGAGATGTTAGAGGCTGTTCAAGTCTCTGATTTTGTTAACGCTCACCAGCGGCTCTCGATAGTCCCAGATATTCAATACTAGGTGAATTCAACTGCACCATTCCATCGACTTTCATCCACTCAGCATTTTTTCTCCATTCCCCTGCCTTTTTTCAATTATCGGCGTTGTCACTACGAACGCAGCTCCAGAAAAATCAGAAATCACAGCGAATTTTTCATTTTTATTCGCAATGGTAGATGATTTATTTGACTTTTTAATTTTACAGGCAATTAGCATATGATATTATAATGATATTATATAAGCGCACTCGAAATGCTATTTTAAAAAATTCCAGAGAATGTGAAAAGCTATTGTATCATTTCAGGTGCTATATTCACAGAGGATCAAAAGGACAGTCCTTCGGAGTTGGCCTTTAAATACGCTGTGTACCGTATCAACAAGGACAAGAGTCTTCTTCCCAATACAACCCTCGTCTACGACATCCAGTATGTACCCAAGGACGACTCCTTCAGAACATCAAAGAAAGGTGAGGTGGATACTAAAAAACAACGCTATTGTCACCACATCTTGACTCCCTGAAACTGGAATATCGATAAGACACGAAAATCAGATAAATTGGTATCCCCCATCCCCCATCCAGCGGATAAATGAGAAAATTGGGTTACAAAACCAAGTGGATTCTACACCCACGGCTTTTTCTTTCCCCTCAGTCGTATTCTCCATTTTATTTTCTCTCTTACAAAGGAGGACGATACATTAACGATTTATCCCCCCGGGAACTTTCATCGTCCCCCGGAACAATTTCAGATTTCTGGAGAGATTGGAGATTCGAGTTGATGGCGCACGTGTATATTTTCTATACAGATCCAAGTCGATTCCTTTGCATCTCAATTGTTACGTACGACAGGACAAAAATCCTCGATAGTGTAATAAGTTCTCGGTTGAAAATTCTGAAGAAGGTACAGATGTCATCCCCATGGTCTCCATCTCACCATCGATTTCATGAGCATCTTCCGTATGTAAATGTTACATGAACCACCGTGGAATACGACTTACCATTTCAATATCCCATCGCGACTAGAACCCAAAGAGCGAATCTTGAGAGAGAAAATAAGAATGAAGGAAGAATAAACAAAATTCTATCAGCTCACACCAGGAGACGATATTACTTCCTACACTTCGGTGAGAGAAAAAAAAAATTCAAACTTCAGTCTGATTCCACCAAATCCCTTCGGCAAATGACGAGTATTTTCTCAGTAAATGTGCCAATCACGCTGACAAAACGGGCCATCGGGCTCTTACAGTAAGAAAGATGTTTAAAAACAGAACGCAAGTTCGTACATCAATATACATCAGTATTATTGATGGTTTAAGACTGTTAGTCTACTGGCGCTTTTTGTCTCAGCACTGCTGAGAAAATTGGAGAGGTGTTCAACTTAGTAAGAAAAACTTGGGACAAGACAGAGACAAAACGATCGCTGTCGAAAGACTGGAGGAAATACGATTAAATAACGACAAGTGTTTTTTTTTTCCTGAATGAATGGGATAATTGATTTCACTTGATTGGATTTCTATTACGTCATCCGGGAGAGGATTAACCGGAAAACTCTTCATTGTCTTTCTTATAAAATTCATATCCGGTGATAAAATGATTCACTTTTGTTATCACCCGTACAGTGAGAGGAGCTTTTCCCTCAAGTTCGATCTTGTGAATAATTCATATGGCAACCAGTGTCTCCTGATGGCCACTGGACCGAACTCCGTCGATATGTGTAAAAATCGAGAATAGCGGGAAAAAAAAACTGGCAATGAATGGGGGTGAAACTCGTGTTTTTTTATTTTCACACGATCGCGTGAGGGGAATATTTTATCGGTGAGGGTCAGACCACTTGCCTTTGACTAGTCCTGACCAAACATGGATTTTATGTGGTTCACGAATCCTGGAGACTCCTCGGACGTATCAATTTCCGGGCTATTTTACGCTGACACTGGGTTAGAAAAACATCAACTCCTCGGTGAATCCGAGGATGCGATATCTCTCTGGCTGCAGGGGTGGAATAAATCAGTGGTTTCGTCGAGAAGATTCAATTCATATTTCTCAGAAGATCATTCGAAGTTGAGATGATCAATGAGCAATTTGGAGGATTGTGTTCCACTGGAATTTTGTAATAGAAAAATAAAAATTACTGGCCCATTCAAATATTATGTGTTTGTTAGTAGTAGTTAGTATAATATTTTATTTTCTATCAAGTCATGGATTTAAAAAATTTTTCAGCCTGCAAACAATTATCAAAATCAGTTCAGGGCATATTCGGCCCATCAGACCCATTACTGGGGGCTCATATTCAGAGTATCTGTGAAGCACTGGATGTACCGCATTTGGAAGCTCGAATGGACTTTGAACCAACTTTCAAAGAGTTCAGTATAAATCTCTACCCCTCCCAGGATCATCTGAATAAGGCATTCAAGGATCTCATGTCTTTTCTCAATTGGACGAGAGTCGCCATAATCTACGAGGAAAATTATGGTGAGTTCGAACATAAAATTATATCTTTTGACACAGACAATACAATATTTGCTTTGATCTTTCCTCCAATAACGTGCATTTTCCTCCAATCTGTGGGCTTCACTACAAAGAATTCCAATCATTCCGAGATTTTCCACAATTCGTATTGATTCGCGTATCGCAGAAAAGAGAGTAGCAGAAAAATTTCACTCAAACCGTCTCTTTCAACGAAATTCACAGCGAAAAATGAAAAATACCAATTTTTCATCAATAATTATTTAATTATCCATTAGGAAGTTATTAATGTGCGGTTTAAAAAATATTTTCACTGTTTTACTCATAAGACCCGTAGAGACCAGAAAAAAAAGCGATGAATTTATTTTTCGCTGCTACTATATTTTTTCATCCCCATCAAAATGAAGTATGAACTCTGAAATAACAAGAATAACATAAAATATTAAATCCCTCATTACAGTTATCAAAAACCAACACGAGTTTGTTCTTTCCTCACTGGGTCCTGAGGTACTCCATATGATATATTCATTCAGTTCTCCAGTTTATACCGGCACTCGTCTCATTCCTCCATTCATCATCATTCCACTCCACTCTAAAACCTCGTAGAAGCAAAGTACATAGCTAACGCACACGTCCTCCGATTTTTTATTACTCCTCCAAATCTACCCAAGTGGAGCTTCCAAAGCGTCTCACGTGCGTTCATCATAATTTTTTCCCCTTTCAGTGGCCTAAAGACATCCGAATAGCTGCTACAGCAAATGGAGATAGAATAATGACCCGATATTCCCTCATATTCCCCACATTCCAGACGCTCTCCAGATCTCCAGTAGAAAAACACCACCATTGATCAGACAGCGGACTAAAACGCCATTTAAAAATTTTTTTAACCCATCTCAATCTTGCACTTCTTTATTTCTAAATTATTTTCTCTGTGAGTCTTGAAAATTCTCAAAGTTTCGAATCAAGAAGCTGAAGAAATTTATCAAAGAGCTCGATCTATTCATCAAGTCGATTGTGGTGAAATTTTCAAGTCACGGGATTCACGACTTCAGCATGATGAACCCCTCGGAATGGTGCATTGACCAACATAGACGGAATATTTAGTAATTGAACAGCAGGTACTACCCCTGACGTCAGCACACCAAATCTACATCGGGTATTACCTCTATTGTCTCCACAATTCTCAGCGGTTACGGGTACAATGAGCGATACGAAATTACTCGAATGCCATCCTGGAGGGGAGGAGGGCAGGAGTGGTAGTGGGGAGGGGTGGCGGTGGGGAGGAACGAATGACTGGTCGAGGGGAGGAATGGTGGTAGGGAGGAAGGTAGGAGGGGAGAGAAGAAAGTGGGAACGATAACCTGGTGGGAATAATTACCACAATAGTATTCCGTGGACGCTGTAAGTTACACTAGCCGCTGGCGGAATTAGAGTCCTAAAGTGGTAGAACGCTGGGTGTCGGAAACGATTTGCAGGCTGAATTTACGATCGAAGATACAAATCGTCGAAACGGCCGTTTTGTGGCCAATATCCTGGGCTGCACACATGAATGCACGTTCTAACCCAGACAACCCTTGTTTTACCTCGGTGAAATTATTCGACGAACCTTCTGCAGCTCAATCAAAATCTTCACCAACACTAAAACCTGGTGATTACCAGAAGAACGATTCGGTGTAAAAGGAAAATCGATTCAGTAATTTCAAAGAATTTTCCTTGCAGTATTTTTCAAAATTCTTACGATCATTTGAATTTAATGATTAGTTTAGAATTAGTTGCCGGATAATTGTAAGTTGTAATAAACAAATAAATTCAGCTGGATTATTCATGCTTGAGGATTCCTGAATTTTTGAGAGTCCCACCCGTCCTGATGCGATTGTGAAAATGATCTTTGATGTACCACATTGACCTCGTTTTCAGGTTGTACAAAGTGCCGAGTCCTGAATATCACATTATTTCCCTGTAAAGCAGGATAATTGGATTATTACATGAGTCGTTGACATGAGAATTAATTAATCTCCTTTCAATTAGCATACGCAGCCCAGCGTCATGAGTTTAATTGTTCTTTGATGTGGGATATTGACTGTTGTGCACAGGTCTATTCAAACTCCAGGATCTCGTTAAGTCACCGCCAACCACACGCACCGAGATGTACATACGTCAGGCTGGACCCGGGTCATACCGACAAGTGCTACGTGAGATCAGGCAGAAGGAAATTTACAAGCTCATTATAGACACCGATCCTCTGCACATGCAGCAGTTCTTCAGAGCAGTGAGTTGACAATTCTCAATTACAGTGTGACAGATTTACCAAAATTCTCGTTAATTCTCTCACCTGAATATTCAATTGCCAAATGCCAAATTGCCAAATACCAAATACCAATTTAAAATTAATGTGATTGACCGTCTATTGAATTTATCAAGCATTAAAACCATTAACTGATTGATTAATACTGAATCCTTCGACTTGTTGAAAATTTTTATTGCAATTTTCACAACCATTGGATAGTTCAGAATTAATTGACAAGCGGAAAATTCATTGCGATATGGAAATATCACCTACAGATTCAACAAAAACTGAAACTCCGAGGGGAAAGAAATTGGTTGGACCGTGAAACTCGATTAAACGAGACTCCGTCGTTTCATGAAATTAAAACTTCACTGAATAATTCTAGAATTTTACCCATCGTCAAGTAAAGGAAAGAGATAGTCTTTCTAAGTAGCACAAGTACGTTTTTGTCACGCCACCATGAGATTTCTAATTGGCACTCATTATAAAACTCAATCTCCCTGTAATTAAAATTTTTCAAAGGTATTGAGAGCACCACGTGTGAAGAAATTTAATGGAAAAACTTGCGCTTTCTGTAAGAAATTTTCCTCAAGTTCTACTATAATTCTATTAAAAGCTTGTATCCATTTTTCAACCTCATTCTAATTAGTTTTACCTCGCACTCTATTAACATTAAAACAAGCGGTGAAATTAAAATAAATAATGCATTATAGGAATGGTGGAAAAAAATTGAATATTTCCGTTTATCCAATTCACATTTTTCAATGCGGAAATTATTCCCGAGATTGTTGGAATAATCGAATAATCGGTGCAATTTTGCCGGTTTCAAAGCGATCAATCTTATTAAAATATCAAAGCAAATTTTTGCTAAAGAAGATTGATAATCCGTCAGAGTGGATTCCATGAACCGTCGATTGCATCTCAACAAACAAGTAGCGATAGCGTAATGGCAATTGGGCGGAAGGGACGTAATAGTACTTGGAGGACAGATCGGTGGGTTGAGGCAAGGCTACGGGCTCGGGGAGAAGTTTAATCGAATTCCCTGTTATTAATCGTCGAGTGCCTGCAGACTACTCCCTATACAGATTCTGTTGCCACGCATATTTTGTAGATAATAACTCGAGCAAACGACGGCCCATCGTTCCTTTTTCTACCTTTCCTCTCACCATTATTCTCACTTTGTGATTAATTAAACATTTTTTCCATATCACGAGGAAATGTTTTTTGTTCACGGCCGGAACAAAAGAAATATTCAAAGATTAATGAGAGGAAAGTTTGGAAAATGGAAATTGGTCAATCCCTTTTCCTCTGATAAATTATGTCCCTCGAAAGTTTAAATAAAAAATTCAATAGAAATTATGAGTGAGTCCTGCAATTTTTGTGGAATTTTTTTTTTCGGAGTTGGAAACTCATCAAGAAGTTGAAGATTTCTTTTATGCGTTTATGGTCCAGTCTGCCGCCTTCGAATTCGCGGATTCTTCTCCCCCATTTTTTCATATTTGGACTGAATCCTCGCTTTTTTTTGGAACGTGCCAGTGTACGGTTATTGCAGTTCTTCCAGTGAAGAAACGAATCGCCCTGGTTACCGAAGGATACCATGAGATTTATGAACCGAAGTAGAAAATACAAAGTTCGCAAACCTCTACTACACTTGAAATATATATAGCTGGCACATGCTGGGGAGTTAACGTCAGTGATATTCGTCTCAGTATTTTCCGTTACGTTTTCCCTCTTTTCCCCAGTTATTTGGTATCTTGTTATATTTTGTTACGTGTCAGTGCAGTGAGAAAATCGACGGATAAATCGACGGATAAATCGAGGAATCCCCTTGTACATTGGCGGCTCAAATTCACGAGTGTATGAATAAACAATTACGGAGAAATTTTGGGCAGAAAGTTAATAAACTATTTTTAACTGTTGGTGAACGAATTGGGTTGGGTTTAACTGTTGGATGAATAATTCGTTCTGCCCTTGTTTCCCGCATTTCATCTCTATATTTTCGCCAATTCACGGAGAGAAAATAGTGTGACTCGAATATTCGCTCGCCATTATTGATTCCCAGTTCACCGGTTTTCTCCATTATACCCCGAATTGGTTGTCACTAGCCAGAGGTGGTGGAGATTTTAATTTCAATCAATTTTTAGCGAAAAGATTTTTCCACTCCAACTGTTTTCATTGATATTTTTCATTTTCAGATTCTGCAGCTTCAAATGAACGATCACCGATATCACTACATGTTCACGACATTCGTGAGTACTTAATTATCTCCATTGCCTAACAAAATCCAAATAATAATTCATTTCCATTACTTCTCCAGTTATTAAAAAAAATTGATAAATGTATAAATACCTGAGGATGAAGGAAAGAGAAAATAAATGAGATCGCATACTTAAAAGAAAAAAACTATTAATTCCGCGTTTTTCTCGTGAATATTCGTAACCACCCGAAGCAGAAAATGTTCATTAAAAAATCACAACGACCGGTTGCTTTTAATCAACAAAGCCATCATAACTCACGGAATAATAATGTTGAGGAGTTCTGACAAATATACGAAAACTCGGACATCACGAATATTGTTAGACGTGTGTTTAGTCAGGCTACTGCAGCCAGGTAACCTCTGCTGTGAGGTAGACTCAGGGTTTGTACTGTACGTTTCCAAGTTCGTTGACCGTGGAAAAACCACGTTATTCACTTTAACGATCCCAGTTGTCCTATGCATCACTGTATAATTGTAAATCATAGCACCAGAGGACACATGCGAAGACATCCTCCAACAACGAATGAGCCTGGTTACTTCGTCTACCATTGTAATACAGTGCTTCATTCTCGGTTCTCTATGATTACACTACAGCCGAGCTTGGTTTCCCCATCTCCAGCGTTTTCTCCCTCTTTTTTTTTTCTCCAGACGACCACTCAGTTCTCCAGGAAACAACCACTTGACGGAGAACAGCGCTTTATCGAAATACATAATCAAAATTTGCAGCACTAATTATCTTAATCGTCTTCGTATTAATAAATATGAGAGTAACTTTGTATTTCAGAAGATGTTGGAACAAAAGTTGATGGTGAATTCCGCGAGATTATTTATATTTCCGGAGCTTCAGGGTCACCCTCCCCAAAAAAAGGCCAACAAGCTGACGCGATCTTGAGCTTGATTCCTCATTCGTGAAATCCGGTGTCCAACTTTTTGTCAAACCAATGATTCTCTCCATCGCGGAATCACTTAACTGAAAAAAAAAGCGTCCGTAACCCGAAAAGAAACATCTTGAACCCTCATGACAAACGCAGTTAGACAGCTGGTGGACGAGTTTCGGGTCAATTCACTGAGAGGAAAAACTTGGGAGCGTGTATCACCGCGAAGAAAGTTGGCCGTAACCAGAGGTGGAAAAAAAAACTGAAGAAAATAATAAAACAGAATTGCCGTGTCACTTTAGAATCGACAAAGAGGAAAACTTTTGAGTGCTTTCAATGCTTATGACATTGTTTCAGGATATCGAGACATTCGATCTAGAGGATTTCAAGTACAACAGCGTAAACATGACTGCATTTCGATTGGTAGATCTTGAGGAGCCAAAGGTAGCCGATGTTTTGAGGCAGATGGAGAGATTTCAGCCGATTAAACATGCCATCCTCAATCGAACTGGCATCATCCAGGTTAGCATACCCTCCATTACCTGTACCATCCATCTAACTTTTTCTTTCCTTGGAATAATTTTTTTCCCCGAGGTAAACAGACAGGATTTTATATCCCCGCAATATTCTCAACGTGTTTCAGGCAGAACCAGCTCTTGTCTACGACAGTGTACAAGTTTTTGCTCATGGTCTTGCCTCCCTAGATCGCAGTCACGTATTGCGTCCGATGAACTTATCCTGCGATAAAGAAGAACCGTGGGATGATGGGCTGTCTCTTTACAACTACATAAACGCGGTATGCCATTGTTTTATTTATGCTGTTTTATCTCTCCGTGCTTGTTACGGATAATGGAATCACGACCGTGTGGCTTTATACCCGGCGCTTTACAGGATTAAACCTCCAAATGAAGCATTATGCGAGTTACAACGCTCCATTAAATTCGAATTCAGCTTGAAGGGAAAACAGGATTGTCTCGGCTACACTGATAGTTAATTTCAACTTGCATTGAGCTATTAATCTTATTTTTATTTTAATAAACGATTAATACAGTTTTTAATGATGGCAAAAAAAACGACTGTTGACTGACAAATTAATGCATCACGACAGCGAAATTTATTGACTTGTTGTTATTTAATTAATATTTTTGCGGATCCACTGCTCTTTAATCTGAAGGGCATTCTTCATTCACTCTCGTCGAGAATTCTTCCAAATTCGTTGGCACAATATTGAAAATTCGTATGCAATAGTCTATGAAGTTTCGATTATAGTGCGGGTCTCAAACGGGCTGCATTATTGACATGAATAAACTATCAAAGGGAACGCCGAACGATCCGTAGCGAGAATACGAGTTTATTGAGAGAGAAATGCATTGTTGACTAAAATTCGGCTGCAAGAAAGGCTTGAAAAGTATTTCAATAAATAATCAAATTGGTCACCAATATTTTATTGAGAATAACTTTACGTCACTTCGATTATTTCAATGACAAATTAACAGCTTGTGCACATCTACAGCAGTTTATAATTAAATCAATCGGAAATCGAATTGAATCCGAAAATTCAGGAGGTGGATAATTTTTTACTGATGATTAGGATTTATTATGAATCATCAAAAAAACGCTGATAACGCTAATCAGCAATAATCCAAGCGCTGGTGAGAAGGAAGAAGCGCCATTGCATAAATCCTCTTTGCACACATACATGTGCAAAGTTACAGTATCATTATCTGACATATCTGATTTTTCAACGTCTGATGATAAAGATCTCACGGCTCCGGATTTAATACAATCGCGGGCGGTCAATTCTTTTCCACTATCTGAAAATATCACCCACGTAGAAATATTGATTTCAATTGTATCTAATTTTAAATTTCATTGAAAAAATGAAAACTCTTCCATTTGTAAATTTTTCTAATGCTGTCAGAGAACTTTCATCATGATTTCCTGATAATTGAAAAAAAATTTTTAACGTTCCAACGAAAATTGGAAAATCAGAGAAAAATTACGATTACGCATGTCTCGATCGCAAGCAAAAGGAACATGTAATAATGAAATGTTGACACATACGAAACTCTCGAATAATTTTGGCACACATGGCCCCTGGTCCCTGCTCTTGAGTGCAATTTTTAACGGAGGCAGCTGAAGAACTAAAAGGTTCTTTGCAGCCAGTACATATGTAACATTGAATGGCATCCCCTATAAAATAAATTCAGGCCTTTTACGATTAACACCTGCTACAAGTACACGATCATAACGTACATTAGGAAAAAATACTTGCCGAAGGTGAAGACACTCGCAGCAATACTAAAAACAAAAAGGGCCTTCATTCTCATCGAAATTGGAGAATAGCTCTTGTTTCACAATAGAGATCAATTTTGATGTCACTATCTCGATCGGTTTCGAGTTTATGGTATCCGACATCTGTAGCTTGAGGGAATATAAAGGGAGTAAAACAGATAAGAACTATTTGTATCGGACACGCTAATCGCAGTTTATCTGATAACACGTCTCTGAATCATCAAGTAGAAATAGGCTTTTTTGTCCTATTGATTTCGATGATTCCCCCGAAATTTGAAGATTTACGCGAAGAGGATATCGATTGGGAAATTACCATAGCGTGAAAATAATCATGATTAGTTTCTATTGTTGAGAGGCTTTGCCTAATGTAACAGGTGAACAGAATGCCAATCACTCTGGTGAACTGATGGACTCGAATGGTTGGGATTAAGCACAATGACAAATCTCCACCATTTGATATCCCGTTTGTATCAGGGCTGTGGAGCTTATTAATTCCATTTGACTCATAGAAGCAGAAAATCATTGGATGCATCAGTCAGAGTACTCACCATTATCAAATTAATTGTGCAATTAGATGGAATGTTACACGTCAACCTATCTTAAAATGAATGATTTGATAGTTCAATTTTCACTGATTACGTGAGGATAGAGTGAAACCTTGAAAATTTTTTTTTTTCGAGAAAATAATCCGCGCCTCACAAAATACCAATCTAAAGTGGAATGTGGAACGATCAGGGCAATCGATAACAATATTTTCATTATTTATTTAAAAAAAAAAATCACGTGGTAATTTACCGATCCGGTCAAACTCAAGAATTGAGCTGAATAAACTGTAAGTGTGCGAATAGATCCGATACCAACGGCTATTAATTTCCCGGAAGCAATCCCGGCATTCGCGGAGGAAAACGTAATTTTCCTCATTCGCTAATTACGATGGAATTAACGAGCGAGATAGAACGGAAGGGGACGACATACCACTGGATAAATAAGTTGTACAATCTCGAGTGACCCACGTATGACACATTCACTGATAAATTACCGAATTTCTTAAAAACGTGAAACATCACTCCGTAATTTTACCGTCAAATCGAAATGCGATTTATTGTAGTATCTATTATATATTGACATGAGGTAAATATATTACGGAAGTATTGTTGATTCAACACTTAGCCTTGATGATGATACCATCAATGTCACGGAATTCGTAACACGAGTGCAGTGCATGGGCGTGAATTGAATCGAAATCCATTATGCAGTAGTATTTATTCATAGATTTACATAAACATTTGCTAGCCTATACTTTGATTGAAAGAATTCGAGTCTAATTGCTCTTGGAGTGAATTGAAAGGAATTTTTCTGCACCTGAAAATATCGATGGATGGAATAAATGATTATAAAAATGAATGAATGCGCATGATTTCAAGTTGTGGTAACAATTGCAACAATGACGATAATAAAACTGAGTAGTGAGGAAGTTGACTTTATTGAATGTCCATGATTGCAGTAATTTCCACTGCACAAGTGCATTGTGTCGGGGGGTTGAGCCAATAAAATATCTTTCTGCTGAGATGATAGATGCAGATCGTCTAGAAATACTGATGAGTGTGGCTCCCATTGAAAATTACCGCAGCCCCGCGCAGTGACTACAGTTCCATCAGCTGAAATCAAAACACATATTTTCCTCCAATCGAAATCATTTCCCACGGAATTTCCATTCAATCTTTCCCACGATCCTATTTATTTTCCGTCGATTTTCAGTTAAAAAATTCCACCACTTCAATTTAACTAGCGTGAAAACTCAACTTACGCAGAATTTTCTCTAATTTCATACAGAATTTCGGGCAAGGCAAGCTCTTGGTTTTTACAATCGATTTATCAGTCTCGGCATTCGCGTAACAGGTCGTGGGATCGCCTGTGAGAAAAAAAAAATTATATGATGAGGAAAAATTCTCTGAAATAATCATATACGTATTTGTTTTCTTGAAAGGAATAAATATAATTGGAATATATTTATATATTTATAATTGGTATATTGCACTCACCCAGAGTAACCGGAAGCATCATAAAACCGAACACTAACAATTTTCCAATCATCACTTCTAATCAGTTAATTGTAAATGTGGCAATTGGATGAGTAATGAGTAAAAACAATTACAATAAGGAGAGCACTAATCAGGAATTACGCGTCGGTTAAGTCTCGACCATTCAACTGAAAACGTCTCACTCGTAATAAATCTCCAGGACGCAGATATCAGCTAAAGTGCCATTCATGCATTTTTTATGCAGTGTTACAAACATCAAGGAAAAACTTATCCTCATATAAAATCACAATGCGAAATGAGAAAATTACGACTGTCGCAATTCAATAATTACCATTACACTCAACTCTCAGTTCCTCATTTATTCTTGATTTTATTATTAGATTATTTATAAATGCAGTAGAAGATCGACGATGAAATGTGTGATTTTTAATTATAAAACAAAGGCAGTGAGAGTAATGATGAAAATAACGAGATGTGTTGATGCAATTGAGTCTCCTCCATTACAGAAATTTTCATTGCATAAGTGGATGGAATCAGGGGCTGTGGCCAATAATGCTTTTTGTTGATCTATCGGTAAATCTTTAAGGAATGACTCCGAAGATGGACTCCAGTCGTATGCACCACATCCGCGTGCAGTCACTAGAGTTCCATCGGCTGAAAAATATTTTTAAAAAATGGATATTGACTCTGAAGAAATTCTTTCAGCAAGAAATATCGTTAATAAAACAAGCTCACGCAATTTTTTCTGGATTTTCATACAGAGATAAGGGCACACCACGTCTCTGGTCTTTGAAGCTGTGCTTTTAGTCTCCGCATTAGTGTAACAAGTAATGGAATCTCCTGTGAAGCGAATAGAGTGGTACCGATATTCAATTGAAAGTTATTTGAAATTATTCGATGATCAAAAGAACAATCTTACACAGAGAAAATATTTCTTCTGCACTTGTACTCACCGAGAGTAACAGGGAGCATTAAAAATCCGAACATTAATAATATTTTCAGTATCATTTTTGATATGGGTATTTTTTTGGAAGGGATCGGCGTTCGGTTAGGTCTCAAACGTTCAACTGAAGGGGTTTGCCCGTTTTTAATCCAGGATCCACCAGAGAGGAAGTAGATAGTGCAAGCAAAGTGATTCATGGCATTCCTTTGTGCTACCATATCATTCGTACAGGAAAATTATTATTTTCTCCATCTCTGAAAAATTTACTAATAATCCTCAGAGTATTCGTGCGTTAAAAAAAAATAAATAAAGAATCGTTCAATGATTATCAGAATAATACTTTATTGAGGTACATAAAATATATAATATACATCAAGTCTTCTCAAAATATGTTTCGGAGGATAATCGTCATTGAATTATCAGATTTTCCCGAGAATTACGCTGCATTCGATTTTTTCTCGACTTCAGTAAATCATGAGTAAAAAAAATATATTAAATATCCGACGAACTTTCCCAGCGAAAACTTTTCGATCGTTGGATATTTCTTTACAATGTTGTTAGTATTGATAAATGAATCGTAATCGTTATAGCATATCAGGTTTCACTAGTTGCTGCTTCTAGACTTAATTATTTCGATATTTACAGTTTTTCATCGTTAAGTCGATTTATTACCGGTCATAACTGGATTTTTTGAGTGAATACGACTCGTTTGGAAGTCTCGAGAGAAATTCCTCGTGAAAAATATGTTTCGGTAGCCCATCAACAATTACAAACTTGGTCTGGCGTCAGTTCAGTTGCAATCGATTCTAATTATAGCTGCAATTACAGTTATGATCACCAGCCACAATGTTGAAACGATCAAATGCGCTTCATTGCATAAATCTTCCTTACACAGGTGTAAGTCTCTAGAGGACATTCTAGATAAAGCCGTTCTCTCGCTCTCCGATAGTGTTCTCAGATCCGATCGCAATAATAATGCTGGTATATTCGTGAAATGTTCACCGCAGCCTCGCACAATAATCCGAGAGCCATCGGCTGTAAATTACAAAAATATCACATTTTTTTTGTAATTCAAAACATTCATTCCATTCAGCACTCACAAAAAATGTGTGCAAATTAAAATCACTTGTGCCAGAACAATCAATCTTAATTCACCACAAGTATACTTAATTGGCAGTTTTTTTTCTCACTCTTCGCTGAGAGGAATATATAACTTCGTTGATTACAGGCTGACATGAGCATCTGTTCTACCAATTGTGGGCGCACAAAGTGCTGAGCAATAACAATGTCAATGTCACAAAAATTGAGGAGATTGGATGTTGCGAATTCGAATGATGAATATCAATTGAGATAATTATTTTGTTGAACTAACATTTGACGCGGAATTCTCATTTTCTCATTATTTCGCTGGACCACATGTTCCCATATATTACGACACGAATGAAAAAATGTACTTTTTAATAAGTCGGAAGGGTGCCATCACACTTTTTATGAAGTACTTATGAAAAAAAAAATAATTCAGAATTATAATCACTCGAAAATATAAACTTACGCAAGTGAACATCAGCTTTTCCACACGCACTCGAGCACGCAATCTGCAATTTAGTCGAAGTAACATTCTTCAATTCCACATTAGAAAAACAATCGGTGTGTCCTACAATGAACGATAAGATATCAGTGAAAGATTCAAAAGACGTCCGAAAAAATGGAATAATTAATTTCCTGAATAATACGAACCGAGGGTATAAGGAAGAAGAGCAACACCGATAAAAATTATCAATTCCATTGATCGTCCGAAGTAAATCCTAATTCTAGTGCCTCTCATTACACTCGATATCTTGATTAACACCCAAAATGCGACTGAGCAAGTGGCAATTGATGAAAGCGCCGTGTAGAGAACAGATGGAGCCAGATCTTGAATTATTTTTAGAAGCGCATACTTAGAAATCCGATTGGCATACAAATATTTTTAACCATTATCGACCTAGAAGTAGCAACCAACTTTCCAATAGTAGCTCATCGACTGATACAATTTAATCGAGTTTATCGGTATATTACAATTAATTTTGAATGATGATTGATATTAATTTGTGGTGATCATAGCTGCTACTGTGGTAATGACTAGTAAAAGTAGAGATTTTGATACACCGGTGTGTGCACTATTGCACAGGTTCCCCTTGCACCAGGTTATTTTATCGAGTGTCAATTGCTCAAGTGCCTTCTTCTGAGCTGATGTGAGGGATCCTTCTGTATCGAATGAAGCTACCAAATCGGAAAACATATCACGGCATCCACGCATGATCATCTTTTCATTGCCAGCTGAAAGGAAAATCTGGGATTAATAAGTGTTTGAGGAAGCTTAGGGACGAGGAAAAGCTGTAGAGATTACTAGGAACATAATGACGACGTCATGAGATGATTTGCTGATCAGAATATACGCTCATCGCATTCTTTTCCCCTTTGTAATCATTCAGGGACGAAATTTCGATGACAGCAGCATTGCAATGGTTTTTCCAAATTGATTGATTGAGAGATCCGATCATTTGATTATTTATGCTTGAAGAGGTGTGGCGGTAAAATGGAACAATATTAATGATTCGTAATTAATGACTTACGCAATGGAACCTCGCCTCTTCCACAGTCCGACTCACAGGGCACCTCTGTTTTCGGGGATGTCAAATATTTAGACTCCACGGAATAATAACAATTGTGAGTATTACCTGGAATAGGATTCAAGTGATATTAATTATTTAATAAGAGGTGATTAAAATTAACCTGATAAATATTGAAATGTACAAACCGAGCGCCAGGGGAAACAGAATAACACCAATTAGCAACAACACCCTCATCATTACTTCAGTAGATCGTGGAGATGATGTTTTAGTTTACTTTGCAAAGTGAAACTGAAGGAATCGATTCTCTCCGAGAGCTTGGGAGCGGCACATGCGGGCGCAGATTAAACGCTCGCATGATGTTATTAGTAGAGAAGAATACTGGGACGTAGGAGGTGATGACGTAGTTATCCCATTCCATAGCCAAAAACCTTGAAATATGTCAGTGCAATGAGGTAGGGGATCGCTCTGTGTATTCATGCGCTGCTAGAAAAAGATCAGTTGCGCATGCACAACAACATGAAATGAAGAAATGTGGGAAAACCTTGGGTTACAGAATGAGCAGAAATACTAATGCAAGTTCAAGGCTTGGGTGGGTCGCTGCAAATAGCATTCGGATAATTGACTAATAAATGGTGTACATCGATAAATAATCCGGTACGTAGTTCCACGCCTGAAAAAGAATCTATTGAAATTGCGTGAATATCTAATAAAAAAAAATGTCATCGTTGCCCCTGGAAACTTCCGCAGTTGGCGCGTACCTACCTGTTTATCCACTTCCGCTTTAGAATATTTCTGATGAATTTCTCTCCGCGTGGATTTCCTCATCATTTCATACAGATTTAATTTCATTAACGTTCAGTAAATATTATTGATTTCAAAGAGCACCAGTCTTGTAACTTCATGAAAAGTGCGAAGGTCTTAAACATCGATCAACATGAGAGCACGGAACGTCACAAATATTTACAAAATTGAAATGAATACTTATCTCAGAGGGTCAGCTCGAGATTTTCACACTACAGCGATCTATTTCTTTCCTTCTCCCTGGATTCGTCGTTAACGATACGAATGGCGTCAATAAAGAGCGGCGTCTTCACGTCGAGGTTAGCGTTATTGGCGAATAGCATTAGCATTCAATTGGTTTTCTTATGAGCAAAAAAAAGAAAACCGATGCTTAACTGCGGGTCAGCAAAAAGAAAAAAACACTTAGGAAGTTATCTAACAGTGGGAGAAAAACCTCGCGATTGACCCCTCGACATTGTTCATAACGTGCTTCCTATCTAAAAATCTCAAAATCTAAAAATCGCATTTTGAAAAATAGCCGATTGAATTCAATACGCAATTGTAATATACGAAATGCGTGGGTGTAAAAATGAGCGTTAAATACGTTTATTTTCCCATTTATTCAATACTTTAGTAATTAGTAAATATATTCGTACATTTTATAGGTAAGTACAATTATTTTATGTAAAGTGATTTTAATAAACTGCGAATGCAGTAACGATAGCACTGATTAGTAATGGCAAGAGAGATGTTGCGACGACGGAATGTGCGCTGTTGCAGAGATCCGATCTGCAAGAGTGTATGTTTGCGAAATTTACACCACGCAGACCATCCCGTTGATCCGGTGTCAAATGACTCAAAGTTTCAGGATCCGTGAATTTCTCAAATGTGTCGACACAGGCTCGCATTGTCAACGATGATCCATCAGCTAAAAGTCAAACAAATTCCCCGAATCGTACGAATAATCGATCACCAAAAATCAATATCTAATATTATTCAACTCACGTAATGGCGCCGAAGACTTTGCACACGGTGTCAAACATGGTATTTCAAGTCTTGCTGTATTTACTATCTTGGACTCAATCGAAAAATAGCATTTCAATGCGTGACCTATAAAGATAAGACGCCATTTAAAAAAATCGAAGAAAATTTTCTGTCCGTAATCTGCACTTGAATTCTTGCACTGAGAAGAAAAAGTCGTTTATAAAGTATTTGCGCGATTGATCATTGTTTATTATATTTTCCCGTCTTGAAATGGTAATCCTGTGGAAATATTTATGCAGGAATCACCATGGTTGATAATGATAAGTAATTAATAAGAAATTTCAATTTTTGAGAGAAGAACGTACCCGTTTCGATCGACACTTTTTTCTCAGAATATGTTGGGGCAAAGTTGATGGACACTAACAGCGTTTTATAACTTTTTCTAGTTAATCTTCATAGATGTAATGATATTGTACTCACCGAGTGTGACGGACACTGAGATGAGACAGAGTATCAGGATAAATTTCATGATTGCGATTGAATGCGGGAATTGGCAGAGAAGACCTCACGCTTTGGGTTTCGCTGCAACACTGAAGAAGTCAGACCGCGAGGAACGGCGACAAGGATATGTCGACGCCGATAAAACAGAATGACATCATCTTATTTCTAGGGAATCGTTATTTCAATAGGGCAGTTGGGAGCTGATAGTGCACTTGAACGTATTTCAAAAATTCAGTTCTTATTATTATAATATTAAAATTATTAGAATTATTTCAACAAAGTGGTTTTCTTTCAAGATTTCTAGAAAAGATTTTCTAGGGATCAAATATTTATTTTGTTATTATGTAATCATGATGCAGTTGGCAAGCATCGGCTAGAAAAATTACCAGATGTCGGTTTCTTAAAGTTGCACTTTTTTTTTGTTCACTGACGTTTCTCTTCGTAGAAATTCCGCGTTTTGGACGCGTATTCTAACGATGAATATTTACTGGAGTGACTATGTAATATTTGCTGGGTGACAATTATTCTGGATGTTATAAAAAGGAAGGACTTGCACTGTTTGTAGAAAAACTGCCTAATCCAGTGACCAGTCACTTGTTGCACGCGAGTCTGAGGAAAAAATCAATAATGCAACGCATGCTCTCCTTTCTGCAATCCCTGCGATAAAATAATTATTTAAGAATATTTTGCTTTATTTTATATTTTATTTTTCCGTATGCGAGACATTTTTCCTTACACACCCCTTACGGGACTTATATATTTAGAAATACAAATAAATGTTTTGCAAAACTAAAGAAAAAAAAACTTGAGACGGAACATTTCAGCGAAATTGGAGGATTTTTTTTTATCGTGACAGCCGGAGGAAAATAAATTTTTCTCCAATACTCGTTTGATAGATAAACAAAATATGTTGCGAGTAGAAATGTGTAGAGTAGATCGAGAAGAGCAAAAGAAGAAGCTACGGAATATAAATCATTAACTTTTATTATTGTTCATTAATTCAACTCGGATAATGAGAGGATAATGAGAATAACTTGTTGAATTATCGAGAATTTTTAATAGCAAGAGGAAAATTCCATTTTCCTGTTTTTTCGCGCATTAGATACCTGTTTCTAAGTAGTTAACGCAGAGAGGAAAATTCTTCCTCAAAATTCTGAGCGTAAAGGGGAAAAATTAACACCCGAATTTTTCGCGTATTATAAATGGGTAAAAAGAAAAAATTACGACTCCTTTGGCGCCACTATTCCTCTCTCGCGTTCTCGCTCTCAATTCTCCATTTTCCGTCTATCCCAGTTGTCGTGGCGCCAAAGTAATCATGTCGTTAAAAACTTTCCACTGAAATATTCCGTAAAGATCTTAGAAATTTCTGATGAACATTTTCATTGAATTTGGAAAAATTCCATGAAAAATTTAATTCCAATTCCATTTTCTCTAGACATTTTCCCTCTGCATTGAATTAAAATGAAAAATCAATTCAGAGAGGAGCGCGAGTGACGAGATCAGTTTCTTTCTATTTAATATAAATTTTGGGGTATTTAATCTGATAGACAATTTTTTTCTTCTCGAAAATAACAATAAAACAATGGTAATAACAGTACCATTATAATGCAATTTCGTATTCGTGACCTATGATTGAAGTATCAGTGCCACATGTGATTACATAATCGATTTGTTATCAAAATGCTGTCTGACTAGCTCCAAAGAGACTCGCAATCGTGATGACGAAGGTCAAAAGTAGAGATGCCGGTATGATCGAATGCGCTCCATTGCAGAGGTTTTTCTTGCACAAGTACACATGCCCAGCGGTTATTTCTGGTATGACCTTCGTTCCTGGTGCGTATGATGTCAAATTGAAGAGAGACCATGCTGGACCCTGGCCTCCCAAGTAAGGGAGACCACATTTGTGCGCCGTTGCTACACTTTTATCACCTATAAGTTTAAACTCATCGCGTTATTAATATTTCCACAAAAAAATCTCAACCTCAATCGAGAGAAAATTTGACACATCAGTCTCATTGAAGTCAATTTTTTCGACTCGATTAAAATCAACTCTCTTGGACTTGAATTAATTTAAGAAAACCCTGGCAATTGGAGGGGTGAATAATCAGGGTAAAGTGTCCACTTACTCATCTCGAAATCTATTTTCAAACATTGAGAAGAGCAGAGCACTTCCTTTTTTATTACAGCATTGCACGGGGGCTTGCATTCGACACCATCGTAGCATTTCATGTTTTGTCCTGTGAATGATTTAATGGATCGATCAATTACCGATGCAGAGGGTGGAAGGTATGATCAAAGAGAATAGATTGAGATAGGAGTAAAAAAGACTGACCTAGGGTGTAGGGGAGAACGATAACACCAATCAACAGTAGAATTTTCATAGTCACTTTTTTTTTTTTCACCACAAGTTTCGGTTTGAATTTAAAAATTGGACTGACGAGCTGCTGTGGCCCAGTGTCCAGAAAGCGCAAGACTGAACTGAACGCATGTGTTATGTTTCTATTTTCAAAGACGCTCTGCTAAACCTTGAAGGCAATTGCATATTTTTAAACATGATCCAACCATTTTGCTGATGGCTAGCGGAAAACCTTTGGCTTATTTCATGGAATTTATGCTTTTCGATACTTCATCGATCTGCACGTAAATATTGTACCAGAAGAAATATAAAACCACAAATTACCGGAAATTTTGCTATTTGATTTTCTCGGAACTTGAAATTATTAACAATTTTCAGCAGGAAGTTGTGGTATATTTTGTGGATATTCTAATTATTTTTTTTTATTCTAGGAAAATCATTATTTTATTGAAATTGTATATTATTTATTATATTATTTATTATATTATTTATACGCCGAAAAAACCTGACAAAAAACGTGAGATCTTTTTTTTTTAAAAGGGTTAAAAATCAAACCTATTTTTTTCGTACTGATGGAGAGGTTTAAAAGTTTCGAAAAATGAGGAAATTCCAATCAACTGCTCCAGGGATTCCTAATTAAATGGAAATTCAACGTAATTTAAAATAGAATAGTAAGCAACTTCCGTGATCAGATTGCTGCAAGAAATTTTCCCCCACCGATAAATCCTCGCACTTCTCCGAAGGACGAAACCGCCCCCTGGAATTTATTTTTGCCCGCACCAAAACAATTTTAAAACTTCGGACTTTTATCGCAACTCCGCCCCCGTATTCTCCCCTTCAACGCCGCGTTACCTCCAATTCTCAACCAAGAGATCAAGTGATCCAGTGAGAGACAATGAAGCAAAGTACGTTACCCATAAAATAAATGAGCAAAGAAAGATGCTACATACAGGAGAAAGCATACATCACAGAACTAAGGAAATTGGGTAGAGTATGGACCGCGACGAATTGCAACGACGAGTCTTTTTCATCGGTCTTGTACTTTCTCAATTCGCAGCTGCCAACCGGAAGTTGGAGCGAACTCACTCCTGAAAATATTCAAGTTCCTCCAACCTTCCTCTTCTAGAAAGCAAAATGATGCAGCAAGAGGCTGAACGTGAGAAAGTTCATTAACTCAGCAGAGTTGAGGTGAAAAATCAGCGAGTGCATGAGTTACAAAGTTGGCGAAATAATCAAGAGTTGGTGAGACGAGTGACGAGTGACGAATTTCGCGGGTGAAAGCCCGACACATGGATAAACAAGCGACATCACCATAACTACCTAAATGACCACCATTTCATTAATATTAACGGTAATTACCTGATTTGCAATTAAAACCGAGACAAATTCCTTCTAGTTGCAAAAAATTTCACTTTCAAGTATCCAACGGAATGCATCATCATCATGATGTCCTTCATCAGTTGGAGATTTGAATAAATTAATTACAAGTTGCACCTGATCCTCGAGCTAACACTGGATTAAACGTTGAGTTTGTGTCATCCGGAGTTCTTGAAAGCGGAAATCAAGTGTACCAACCCAACTATGAAGTACTGCATTGCACTCGGTAGCCAGTGGTTGCAGTTATGAAGGGCTGTACGTGAGATTTCGGGTATTTCTGTTGGTACTCTGGTCTATCGGACTGAAATCATCATAAACAACATTGGTGAGTGGACCTCTGTAACTGAGCGCTTCACGCAAACGGATTTATGCACATGGCTTTGAACATAATTCACTGCACATCGGCGTGCTCATGAGGCAGTGGTGGAAAGAGCACGAGAGGGTGGATCCAGTGGTGGATCCGGTGCTGGTACAACTGGGAATTTCAACGGTATAGTCATCCCCGAGGTAATTAACGCTTCAATCTGCCTCAAATGAATCCACCGGAAAATCTGATGGGGTGGTTAACAGCGAGTCTTTGGAAATGAGCAACTTCTCTTGGTTAATTGCGTCGGCATTTACTCATTATTTACGTCCACGTCGCTCGGACTGTATCAATGAACTCGGGGAATCCACCGGTGGTTCGGCCTGTCCGACTCGGTCGGTAATTGTTACCATAATAGAGGGTGTGTTCACGTTATTTCATTCAATTTATTTATTCCCCAATTTTTATTTTTTTATTGCAGGCGGGAATTCATGGATTGACGGGTCATATAGAGTTCAACGAGGGTAAACGAAATAATTTCAAACTCGATCTTCTGAAGCTGAAGAAGGAGGAGCTCGTTAAGGTCGGGGAATGGCGACCAGGGCAGGGGGTCAATGTCACGGATGTCAATGCTTTTTACGAGACGACAGCTACAAATATCACTCTGGTTGTCATGACACGGGAGGTGAGGACTCATTCAGGAAAAAAATACTAGGAATCGAAGTTATCCGATTTTTAAATAATGAATATTGTTCTTGGTGTCGGTGTCAGGAGAGACCGTACGTTATGGTGAGACAGGATAAAAATTTAACTGGCAACGCGAGGTTCGAGGGATTTTGCATTGACTTGCTAAAATGGATTGCTGGACAAGTGGGCTTTCAGTATGCAATTCGGCTTGTTCCTGATCACATGTATGGCGTGTACGATCCAGAGACCAAAGAGTGGAATGGGATTGTTCGGGAATTAATGGAAAAGGTAGGTGAAACAAAAAGTCTCTCTCACACTGAAAATCTAATTTCTGATATAACTTCATAGGACCGTGATAAGTCTATTAAAAATGAATATGAAATGCAGCCCGCTCTGAGAGGAAATATCATCGCGTCTGGTGTATGAATTCAATGCATCAATTTTTTTTTTACCATTTTTTAAGCGCTTTTTTTTTCTCCCAAAGCGATTCATAAAGTTCTGCAGATGTTACCCCAGGGTATTTCTACGCGGAATTTGAATTTGAAAACGAACGATTATTAAAATCCGTTGACGTCGCGCGGCGTAATTTTTGGGAATTTTTCGCGGTCTCATTCGTGACTATAGATTATTTCAATTCCCGAATAATTATCTATTTAATTGGCCGAAATAACACATCGGTATTTTGATAAATATTTAACCGTTGGATTCTTTATTTCCACCATTCGTTTTCACTTTCTCCTATTCTCTTTTACATTCGTGGAACTGTTCAATACTCGATTCAAAGACTGCATTTTTCTGACTATTCAAAATTAATTCCATTGTTCAAATAACATGAACGAAATTCACTCGTATACAAGCGCACGGAATTTTTACAACTGAAATGTGTCCGGAGTGCATTCAACGCATTCAACCGCCCGCAAAAAAATTTGGGGTTCATTCAATAAATTGGAAAATAAATCTGGAGCACTTGTTCACACTTGCAGATTGAACAAACGTTTGCGTTCGCTATTTCCCTTGGAAAGTAGCACCTGAATTTTTAATTTACCCAGCCACAAGCTTCCGAGATCTCAAGAGTCTGGAAGTTCTGGAGTGTAGAAGGGTTCAAGGGTGATTTCCACGAATCTTTTATAAAGTACATGATCCACAGAATTTGAAGAGGATATTCACGAACTCGTCATCAGCCGAGAAAATTCACCCCCTTGTTTATGCACCTTATAATTTATTTTCTAGCGAGCAGATTTAGCTGTTGCTTCCATGACTATCAATTATGCCAGGGAGAGTGTAATTGATTTTACAAAACCCTTCATGAACCTCGGCATTGGCATTCTCTTTAAGGTGAGTTTTTAAAATTTCTCGAGTCAATTATTTCATCAATGATTAATCGCGGGAATAATTTTTTTAATACAATTTAAATTGTCATTGAAAATTAATTATTCGTTCGAAGAAACAACGAAAAAAAATCAAGAGACATTTTTCATTGCCGCGTAAAAATGGCACAAGCTCAATTAACTTGTGTATTTTTTTAGGCATCTGTAAATGAATAGAAAAAAAAATAGAGACTCCAATAATTAAATGAACAATTCAATCTATTCCAATAAAAAAATCATTGCATCAAAAAAATCAGGAATTAATAAAGGTAGAAAACATAAATAACGAGTACATGAATGTACGTTGAAATTTTCTAAATGTGCGAACAACAATATTCCATTATTAAGGAGACATTATGATATTGCAAAATTAGGCGATTTTAATTAAAATTGTAGCCCAAACTCATTTAGGTACCATCCAGCCAGCCAACCCGTCTATTCTCCTTCATGAATCCCCTTGCTGTTGAAATATGGCTGTACGTTCTAGCTGCGTACATGCTTGTAAGTTTTACATTATTCGTCATGGCGCGATTTAGCCCATACGAATGGAATAATCCTCATCCATGTCTGGCCGAGAGTGAAGTTGTTGAGAATCAATTTAGCGTGAGCAACAGTTTTTGGTTCATCACTGGAACATTTTTGCGCCAAGGGAGCGGCTTGAATCCAAAGGTACTTTACTCTCCCACTGGAATTACATCACAATTTCCATTCCTCAAATCCCAGACAGAATCTCTAGTGCGCACACGGGCCGAATCGACGAAGAGTGCGGGATATTTGGATTTGTTTTTGTTCAATTTTCCTTTTTCGTTCTCTCGAGATGATTTTTTAAAAAGAATTTCAATGGTAACGAATGCTTCAGGTGGCAAAACGTCCACCAAGTAAACTCTTCTCGTTCATGAATCCTCTTGCCGTGGAGATTTGGTTGTCGATGCTGGGGGCCTATGTTATGGTGTCAATTACGATATGGATTGTTGCGAGAATGTCACCCTATGAATGGGTTGAACCACCTCCGTGCCCTAGCTGCAAGTGCCCTCTGCAGGTAGGCCCTTGTCAAGTATAAAAAAAAATTGTCATCAAGTTTGAGGCCCAGATAAATTACCTCCCATGGGATTATTTCGGTAATATCCATTCGGAAAACAATTATCGAGAAACGAGTCAACAATAATTATTTATTTAAAGAGAAAAAATTCAGTCTCAAGGATTTTCAGTCGTTTCAGGATCACGAGTTCTTGGGAATATTTTATTACTTTTCTGAGGCAATAATTCTTTTCCTATGTAGTTACCAGACCTCAAGGTGAAGTTATAGATTTTAAAGGCGTCAACAGTCGAGAATGGCAGGAAAAAATTGGGGGTAATTTCAGGCGTTTTTATTCATTAATACCTGAAAAAGTAACGAAGGAAATTTGGGGAAAATTACCACCTCAGGAAGCAGAGAAAATACACTGTTAAATTATGTAATACCCGTGGCCTCTCGTAGGATGGGGAGTCAATTCACATGCATGCGAGACCCCCTGAGGTCGATTCTCATGCACTCGTGAAAAGGAGCCTGAATAATTTCTCGTTTAGAAAGTTACGATGAGATCAGACCAATTTTTCCAAGACAAATTTAATATGTCGTGATTGCGATCAATACATTCAAATCACGATAAGCCGTCAATCAATTTACTACAAATCTGTACTTTCTATAATTTTTTCTCCTTATTTTAACAAGATTCCCCCGCATTGTGAGAAATTTCTGGAAATTTCAGGCGGAATTTTCTATCAGTGCCCGGAAATCGTCATTATAATTTTAAATAATGTATCAATTTCTCAGTAAATAAATGAATATTCCGATTTTTATGGAATAATAATTTAGGGATATCACCAGTTGTTGATTTATTTTCTTGATAATTTGTTGACGATATTCACGGAAAATTTCCAACGTATTTAATTTGATGATGACATCGGAAAATCAATGAGCAATTTTCCCCCCGTTATTTCAATTACCGCAATTTTTCCGCAAATACTTACGGTGTTATCTGTCCGTATGCAACTGGCACAGTAAACAATTTCCCGTATATGAGAGAGCTGCTACTGAAAGCTTACGCGATTCTGCGTTGTATTTCCATAAATTTCCATAAAAGTATAATGAATGGTGAATGTAGTGTTGCCATTTCTGTGTTTATTCCGGGTTGCAAAAAAGGGAGGCAAATCACTGGACACTAGAGTATCTGCCCTACACGATGTCGAGGATTCATCATACAAGAAAAAATTCTATTATTTCATTTTATTTATTTTTTTTTCTGTACGTTTTTGATATTTGAGGGGAAGTGGAGGTTGGAATTGCTCGTTGATGAATACCGATGGGTGGAATTATGGAATAAATATGAAATTACTTGGCGGGGGGGCCTATCTGATCAGGGGAGCCATGTGAGTGCCTTGGAACCAGAGAGCGATGACATCCCATTGCCAAGAACCGTCAACGATTTCAGCCTCGCCAACAGTTTCTGGTTTGCCGTTGGAACTTTAATGCAACAGGGGAGTGACCTCAATCCCAAGGTAATTTTTATGTCACAGAGCCGATGAATTATTCAATAAAATCAATAAGCCAACAAATTAATTAATGTAATTGGAAACTCGATCAACGTCACTCATTTTCGCGGTTTTTAAATCAATGAGGGTTGGTTCATGCAATCACCCTCGCGAACATTCTGGAATTTCAGATGATCTAATGGATATCGAATTACCCACGATTGGAATACCGAAAAATTGATACTCCATCGCCTGCCTAGTGATTATCCATTGCAAATACAAAATAATTCCATCAACGAAGATAGTTCACGAAATATACGGTTCAATATTGAAAATTCTACCGGAATTTGAGAGGAATATAAACTTTCAATGTTTGTAATGTTTGATGGGTGGTATTTTTGTTTATTCCGATTGTGACGGTGAACGAGTTCCGGAAGGGCGTAAGCTCATACTACAGGATTAATTCAAGCACCATATGAGTACAAGATAATTTAAAATTATTAATAAACATTTAAATCATAATCCCTGCATGTGCATGCCAAAGCCAAGCACCTTATGTTCCATCAGCTTTAAAATTTTCCTGGCGAAACATTCGTGGATATCAAGACATCATGTGAAAATTCAAATTTTACTGATACTGAAAGTGGAATTAATGATTTTTTTGGGGGCGTAATATAAAAGTGCGATGTAATGATAAAATTTCATAAGCATGGACATAATAATGCAGTCAAATTCAGCAAACACGTTGACTGCTGGACAAATACGATTAAAACGTGACCAATTCACATTGAAGTGGTTACACGAATGTTCCATGAATTTGACATGCAGGATAGTCCAACTCATGGAACATTATGCAACTGTTATTGAGGGTTATAACTAATGCCAATTTACGATCATTGGTTTTGGCCCGTTGATACGTTCGGAGAATGGCAATCAGAATTTCCAATGATTCTGGGAATGGAATTGTGGGAATCGCGGGATCGTTGTGGGATCGAATACAGACGATTCGAAATCCGGAAAGGGACTTGAACTTGTCAAAGGGACTTCATCAAATCCTTTGATGAAATAAAAATTGTCATCTAATTCGAAAAATAATCTCCACCTCACACATGACGCAGATTTCATGTAAAAAATATTAATCCCATCTTTTCATTATTTCTATATTTTTTATTTTCTTTCGACATTCAATTCCGCAGACAAACGCCCCAATTTTCCTCTTTTCACGCGTAAATTTTTTTGTCTCAAAAAAAAATCGGTGAAATACCTTCATTCATTACCCGACCATTAGCATTTCTCAGTTTCTATTATTCTTTTTCAGCTTCTATTTCAGTATTTGAAAGTTTTTATCGACTTTTCCCCTGAAAAGCGTATTTTTTTCCCCCCGGATTCATTGGAGTGGGCTGGAAAAGTCTGTGGGTAAAACGAAGGAAATGAATGGACCACGAAAATTCCAGAGAATCGTCGGTGGCGTTCATATTCATGATCGTGGAGAGCTTTGAAATTACGAGCTTTATAATAATCTGAAGCCACAATTGTTGAGATAGTTCAAATGGCAACAATGAACCGTGAAATATTGCTCATTTCAACGTTCACATATCAGTTTGTGTGATCTGGAGGGCAGATAACTGTTCAACTTCTATTTTCTGCACGCCCCGTCATCTCTTCATTCATGAACTTTTCCATTTGCCTGTGAGGTTACCTTTTGTACCACCTTCCCCCATTCTTCCCATTCGCACATTCAAATTAGGTGAGGGAGAAAAAAAATTACCTACAGCAGGAAAATTCAGTGATAAATTAACAAACTAATTGTATGAAAAATTGACAATATTAAACAATTTTCTATTTATCTCCGAATTTTCCTGATGCATGCACTCAAGTTTTGAAACAACAGTGTACTTTTGGTTTCGAAAACAAAAAACTAGACACCGTTTATTTTTGTTTCCTTCATGAATTTCCCCTGAATTCAAACGAAACAAATATTGTACGACATATGGTGCTCACCGGCTCTGTGTACATGCGGGGATGAGGTTGCCTGCGGTGTTGCTACTGAAATTTTCCGGACAATAAGGGGAAAATTGAAAAGAAAAATAAAACAAAAGATCCAACCAAAAGCTACCGAGCACAATCCATATTGTTATCCAATAAATATTCCAGATTATCTGTATCAGTCATTAATTTTGTCATATATTTTTGGTGTGCACTACTGTTGACATTGAGCTCGACTTTTTCCCGAGTTCCCATCTCCAATATTTACCTTTAATAACATTTGTCGTAAATAAAATGAACGCCATATTCTGAGTGCAAAAAAGCTCGTATGCGCGACGAGCTTTATATTGCATTCCGTTATATCGAATTGATTGGACTCGGCATTTTTCTTTTATTACCATCCATGTTCCAGTTATTTCCATTTTTCAACCTCTCACGTCCTCTCTGAAGATTCAGTAAATACAGAGTACTTTTTACCGCTGGCAAAATTCCTTTTTTCATTCATCAATTGGCGCATTAAAAAAATTTTGTTGACGGAATTTTTTGGTCGTGCTCCTCAATCGATCGGTGCTCCTTTCGATAATTGAAAATCTGATGATTATAACTCCCAACGGAAATGTATAAAATATTGCCAAATTTTCTGGTGTTGCTATTAATTAAAATTAATGAACGATGAGGGTGGAATTAATTGTGACATTGACTGTAATAATATCGATAATTATTGCATGGGAATTGATCAAGTCAGATTAATTAAAAAAATTACGACGAGTGACTCATTGAAGACACGCATGCACAGCTGTTAAAATTAATTAAGAGTAATTCAATTAGGCAACCAGTACGCGAATAGTCGGCGGAATATGGTGGTTCTTCACTCTGATAATTATTTCATCCTACACGGCAAATCTCGCTGCCTTTCTCACGGTTGAAAGAATGATAACGCCGATAGAAAATGCCGCCGATTTGGCGGAACAAACGGAAATTACCTATGGAACACTCGAGGGGGGAAGCACTATGACATTTTTCAGGGTATGTATTAAAAAATAATTAATCACCCATTGAGCCAAAGCTGAAGCGAAATTAATCGGAAAGTTCATTTCGTTTCTTCAGGATTCAAAAATCGGAATTTACCAGAAAATGTGGAGATTTATGGAATCCCGAAGATCGACTGTATTTGTATCGACTTATGAGGAAGGAATAAAGCGAGTTTTGGAAGGGAATTACGCATTTCTCATGGAATCCACGATGTTGGATTATGCTGTACAACGGGACTGCAATTTGACGCAAATTGGGGGACTTTTGGACAGCAAGGGATACGGAATAGCTACCCCCAAGGGTCAGCAATTTATTGAAATTTAAATAGCATCCATTTGGAGTTTCAATACTGCACCGTTGATTAAATCTGAAATTTTTAACAACGATTTTTCATTTGCTAATCTATAAAAAAATTTAATAATGTGTGATATTGAATGTGGAATCCAATGTTCCTGAATTGTCAAATCAAATAAAAAATGTAGTGACCGTTTTTCATTGAAATTAAATTGAAATGTCCGGGAAATTAATACTCGAGTGATGAGGAAATATAATTTTTTTTCAATACTGCGGTGCAATAAATCAGCTGAAAGCGGTTTAGAAAAATTTTGACATCCCATTTCCGGCGATAGATCCTCCCAAATCCCCGAGAGGTGCATTTGGCATATAAAGTGATATTTTGCAACTGTCCTCATGTTTCTCCCGTCTTCTAGGCTCACCATGGAGAGACAAGATATCACTGGCCATTCTCGAGCTGCAGGAGAAAGGAGTTATACAAATTCTCTACGACAAATGGTGGAAGAATACTGGTGACGTTTGTAATAGGGACGAAAAAAGTAAGGAGAGCAAAGCCAATGCCCTTGGAGTTGAGAATATCGGTGAGCTCATAATATTTCTCATTGGATAACCATTTTTATCATTATTCTTTTTTTATTTATCGAGAAGGGAAATGAATTTCCGGGTGTCATTCTTTACGGAGAAATTCACCATTATGTTTTACCGTTGAAACACAATGATTAAAAAAATAAATAAAAGACAGCGGTAATAATAATTCCTAATCCCTCGACTTTTACCTCATTAATGAAAACAATCTCCGAGTTTCTAATCCGTAAAGTGCAAATGAATCGCCTCGGTGGGCTGAAATCCAAAAAAGTGTCGGGTAAAAATGCGAGAAAAAGCAATAAAAATGTGAGAAACATTGCCACAGAGTGCAATCTCTCCCCAACACTTGTATACGAATTTTCTCCTGGCTCGAATGGCGGTCTAGTAAGTTTTCTTGTGGATTTACCCTCAGATTTTCATGAATCTCCACTGCGCAACTTTTTAGTATTTTGTCTGGACTCAATCTCTGTCTTTTCCAGTTGAATTTTTTTCCACTTCGTTCATCCTCATTCGTTCTGGGTTATTTCTTTTCTAAAAAGTACTGTAGATCCTGGGAGCGTGTACTTCAGTGGCAGAGCATACTTATACCGAGGAATTATTTTAAAAAATACGGAAAATTGCAACTCTGCATCAACTTCAGGTGCATGAGAGAACAATTTCCAACATTTTTTCCTCATTTAGTTCGACACAAGTGGCTGATTCTTCCCACCCACATTTTTTTCAACCCCCCACCTCCCCTCCTCACCCCCTCCACAGCAATTGTAGGGATCATTAAGAACGGGAAAACGATGGAAAATACTTGAGAGCTGCCAATAAGTGTTGAGAACTTTAACAATTGAGGACGAAGTATTGAGGAACACTTGAATCCTTTTATCTTGACGTTATCTCCTAGGCAATTTTTTTAAAGAGTTTCCAACTGCTCAGGGGAAGGGGTCGACTATCGATGGGGCTCCATCGATTCTCCACAATGTTACAAAACGCGGGGGCAAAAACATTTCCCTCATTTGATTTTTTTTTTTTTTTCGTCAGCCCCTTCGGAATATTTATATCGCGGATTCCACTTGCCTAGACCAAATTGCTCAAGTTTGTATCGTTGATCAGAGTTTCCTGAAATTGTTTTTTCTCGGGTGGATTATTTGAGAATTTTATTCCTCCGGTGGTGGAAAACTGGAAATTTTCTGGGGATTTAAGTGGCGGTCTTTAAGAACTTCATTCAGGCTCATTGATTGATGCTCTCGGGGAAAGTTTTCAAGTGATATAACTGGAAATATATGGGTTTATGGAAATCAGGGGGGATTTACTGCAGCGTGTACCTCTCCTTCGTGAGATTTTCATGTCCAGATAGCATTTCCTTAATTGAAGACGATGTAAACATTTGAAAAATTATTTCTCTCATTATTTCAATTTTTTATCCATTAAATATCGTTTACATGAATTTTTTTATTCATTTCGGTTAATTAATTCGACAATTTTTTCGAAAATAGGAAAACGCGATACGTCACCTAACGTAACATTTGTGTGGGAATTTCAAGATTAATCTTGCAGCACTGTGAGTTCACCGGAATACATCACTGATATAAGTCAACGAATAATTAGGATTAACTGAAAGTTACACGAGATAGAGTTTGCCCCCATTTGATTTAATATTACAAGACCCAATTTATCACCGGAAGATGTACCCCGAAAACTTGACAGTGGAGTTTCCACTTATCGTCGACGATAGACCGGTGGGGAAGTCTAAGAATCCAGGACTCAACACGAGGATTTGCATAATTTCCGGGGGTGGGTGGTGGGTGAAAATGGGGTGGAAAGGGGATGAGGATGAAAGAACTGCGATTCAGGTACAACTGCAAGAGAGCTTTAACTCTGAGACACGTTGGACAAACTTTAGATCCTCGCTATTCATTATCAGGCTCTCACCGTTAAATGAACTGATAAATTTCCCACATTTTTCGAAGTACTGAATTACTTGATAATTACGTGGGAATTACGTGCTATTTAATTTGAAGCTTGTAATAGCGTTGAAACCATTGAGTTTGTACGGCTCTTCGCGTGTTCCGGTTTGTGGTTCGTTAATGATTCAGAACTTTTGGGAATTATTAAAGCACTGTTGTTTCATACTCTGTTTAATTGATCCACACTTCCACACTGTTAAGCAAAATTCAAATATTATCAGCTCAACGCTCTGCGAATGTTCCGAGTAATGGAAATATAAATAAAACTGAGAGATCGACGTCTGATACGATTGTCACGATTTTTCAAGTCATGAGACATGGAAATATTTTATCAAATCGAGTAAATTTTCTTTGAATCGAGACATGGGATGAATTTTTAAATAACTAGTAAATCGACGTCTCAAAGGCGGACGTGCGTGGCAAAAGCAGCCAGACATGTTGACATTTCTGCTACCTGTAAATCCCAGACCACTCATATACCCTTGTACAATGTTACCACAAAAGAAAGCTCTTTCTCATGCGACAATAAACCACTTTTCAAGCAAGAACCCTCCAACCAGAGAAAGCGTCAAGTACCATCACTACCAGAAGAAAACAGAACGCAAAAGTTGAAAAACGCATTCTGATTTCCGATTCACTGTCACTGAAACCACTCCAAAGTTACTGGAAGCGACCACAAAGTCCCTATATATCCAAAAAAAAATACACATTTACCAATCCCGCAAGATTTTCCCTCCAATCGGAATATAAATTAGAAGATACTACTTTTTATGAAAAACTGTTCCGCTCAATATTCGTAGAATCACTGATTTCTCCCTGTAAAAATCCAGAATGAAAAAGGAAAAAGTCAAGAATTTTCACACCCCAATTTCCCTCTTGACAATTCCGAGGGAATGGCTTTTTCGAATCCTCGTGGAAACGACCACCTGGAGGCCCGATGTTACCCTCATCTCAGGAAGAAAAAATGCAATGAAACAAAGACGACAGTTGTGAATGTGAATTTTTGAGGGATAAAAAAGCGCGAAAGAATACGATACTGTACCTGGACTCGAGACTTTCCAATTCAGCATTCGTTTATATTTATACGGATCAATGTCACGTGGGCAATAAATCGGGATTGTCCACGATGGAAGAAAAAAAGAGACTTGCCACTTCGCCTGGTTAAACATTCGCGGTGGAAATGCATTTTGAATATCGATACGTTGGTCTGCACCTTTTGATTTGAAAAATCGAACGAAATTAGAATCCATTCATTTATAATCATTAAAAAAGCTCCTCTCTCCGCATTAATAAACGAGTCGGCAATTTGCTCGGGGATAAAAATGAGGACCCGGTTGGCAAATTGATGGTACAGCAGTAGAGTAATACCTCCTGATAATAATTCCCAATGACTTACTTGCAGCTTATCAACGCCTCTCAGCATCCTCGTGTTACCCGGTAAATTGTCAATAATATCAGATTTCGCGCATCGCAGAAGAGACTAAAAATGTAAAACTCCATTAAAGGATCAAATAACAACAAATAAACGGACAATATTTGTTTACCTCGTGTTACTTCCAATATCAGCATTCCCGAGGAGTTTTAATTCAATCAAACTTACTGATAAAAAAAAGATATCTCGATTTTTTTGACGGACAATGAAGGTTTTCCTTCATCTGGTATTACCAGCACGATCTAACTATCACGATTCCGCTGGGCTCTGCATTTTTTTTTCTCCTCACCCTGTTTTTCTCACTTTCTTTCTTCTTCATTACTCCTTTTGCATCATCCCACGGGAAAACTTTTCGTACAAAAGGGCCTGTCGCGAATATTATAAGGCTGTCTTCTTTAACTTGCGCACCACGGGCGCGACGGTACGGAAATCCGAAAGGCATTAAAGAGAGGACAGCCTAGGCATAAAAGTAATGAACCAACCGACGTCTTTATTCTAACTTCCTACGGCTCATTTTTTTCATTTTTTTCTTTTATTTTTTGTACGTTTTTCCTTTCTCGGATACTACACGGAGAGAAATATTTAGTAAAAATTACGGAACTTTCAGTTCACTTACCGATTACGGAGTTGATTCGACAAATTTAAGTGACGGTATTGTTATTTTTCACTGACAATTCCGAGAAAAATTACGGAACACCGCGGAAAAATTCCGTGACTTTAGATAAAAATTACGTGACAGTTCCGTAAAATTTCCGGGAACCACATTTCGCTCCAGAATTACGAAAAATACACGTAATTTTTATTGAATATTTCTCTCAGTGTAGGATAGCCTTTTTGCCGCATCTTGTTTTTTAAACGCACCGTGATATTCGAGGAAGGTGAATAATATTTTAACCGATTCAATCAATTTGTCAATCAATCTGATTTCAGGTGGTGTTTTTGTTGTTTTACTCTGCGGATTAGCTCTAGCCATTCTCGTGGCAATTCTCGAATTCTGTTGGAATTCGAAAAAGCACGCGCAATCCGATCGGGTGAGTATTAAGATGAATCTCTCACCAGTCAGTTATCCTCATCCGCTTTTTACCGTTTGTGAGTGGAAGGTCTTTATTTCCTGTGATATATAATTCAGACGTCATTTGCACGATTATATTCATGGATTTTGTCTGTTAGATTTTACGTATTCTGATGTGTGGACGTTTGGCTGTCATATGTGCACGTTGAATGTAGGAAGCAACTGATTTAACCGACAGACTCCTCGTACCCGGCATTCAAATAATCCAGGAGTTTCACCTCTTTCATTTTTAACATCGTACAAAGAATTTTCTTTCTCCCTGAATATTTCCTATTTTTTCTCACATCAACTACTGTATTAATTTCCTAAAATTTGAATGAATAACGACGAAACAGTTGGTAAAATACCAACGCTCGATCCGTTAATGCCTTTATGAATAATCAACTTCCACAGGAGCTCTCTATTCTAGGGGAATAATAACTTGTCCAGAAAATGAACCGACAGGTGACCGCAATCCCAGTAAAACTCCCTTGAATGATCCTCTCTTCATTGATGATTGTTCCCCGTAGATTTTGATGGGGTAAAAACCCCAAAATCCCCTGAAAGTTGTCCGGTGTAAAAGTTATTTGCATGATACGTGACCAACACCACCACCACCTCTGACCATATGTACCAAATGCAGTCTCTGTGTGCCGAGATGGCCTCGGAGTTGCGGTTCGCATTACGCTGCGGTTCACAACAGCGTCGACTTACCAAAACCAGAAATACCGAGGGTGATATCACTACAACTGTAACCTGTACCAGGTGTAGTCCACCATCAACATCACTGCTACGTAGCAGGAGGTGCTTTAGTCACGAAGAGACCACTTACATGCCAGGCATCGATGTGCCGAGATTAAATGGTGTAAGTTCGTAATGCATGATCAGAGCCTGTGCCTTGTACTTTTTAAAAAAGGTGATACAATTGCTCTTACAAATGTCGTGATCTATCTCTGGAAAATTACAGCTGTAGAAAAAATATATCCACCTGTTTCTTTAAAATACAAGTGCACGTGGGGGAGTCGAGGTAATGGATTATCTCCACTCCATCCAGCAAAGGCTCTCTGGTAATCCTAGACGCTTTACACCCGTAGGAAATAAACAAAAGGGAGTATTCGTGTTTGATGTATCTGCTGTGTACATATAATAATCAAGTGTCGTAATCTGTTGGAAATTAACGATAGGCTTAATTGTGCTTGTACGGCTGTTGGCATGGTGCAATTACCAAATAATTGGATACTTTTCTGGATTCGGCATCATCCCGATATTCAAATATCTCGCTTTCATCGTCAGAAGTTAACTCACGAAGGATGAAATGTTCTACGTGATTATGTAGAGGAGTTAGAAATTCTCCTTTGGTACTTTGATGTATGTAATTTGCGTAATCCGCTAATATGAAAATCACTCCAAAGCGGTACGAGAGCTTAAACTAACACTCGTCAAGAGAATTTTTATTCTTTACTTTGCAGAATAAGTTATTCGGCTTGCTCTGGGATGGGCTAAATTGTTTTGGTGAAAAAATAAAAATTCTCTGTGAATTTGAACGCATACTCTAGGCTGGATAAACTCCATTTCCATTTTCCCAAGGTCCTTGCACCCCCTCCATCGCCATTTTCCCATTAGTTTCAGAACCGCTCATTCAACTTTCACGATGAATGAAAGAAAAATACACGAGTCAAATTGAAGTGAATTTCACTGTTAAATATTTAAAATGTTTAACACTCGTTTGTACTTGATCTGTCGGGGGACTGCAGCAGGAAGCTGGTGCGCTACCGATGACAGAGATGAAGAAATCATTGAGCTTCGATCAAGTGGGGACTTGTCGTGGAGGGGACACCTAGCACAGGCCTCATCATCATCATCAGCAGTCCCAGTCACAGCAGACACCACCACCACCACCGTCTGTGTGCAGAGCAACACCAACGCACACACGTCATTGTCATTGCCACTCACATTCTCACAGTCACAGTCATTCGCACAAGCACCAACTGCCACCACCGAGGCAGAGGAGAGCCTCATCGGGCATCGGTTTAGGCCAAGGTTTGTCAATTATTTATTTTTTCCATAATAAAAGAAAAATAGTCTTCAGCCTCTTGGCTGTTGATGACAAAAAGATGAGAAAATATTGACCCAGTGAATAAAATTAGGAGGTGACCACCCTGAGAGCATCCTGTGGAGATTCGATTGCGATTTAGCGGGTGAACCAGACGTGGTGATATCACCACCACCGCCTCCACCACCGCCATCAGCCGCCGTATCAAGAACAACAACCCTTTGACCAATACTTGAGGAGGTGCCGACGGGCGTGCCAACGCAAAAGGAACACCTTCCAACCCAAGCTGGGGTAGTTGTCGACGTAGACCCCAAAGAAACGTGCTTATAGCACTCGTGATGCCCTCCCAGGGCTGATAATCAAGTCAACGAGGCACTTAGGGACCAGTGAAAGAGGAGAGCCATTGCACAATGGAAAAACTTCAACAGTCATTGACGTTTTCAGAGGGCCAGTGGATCACCGACAAAGCTAAACGGAGTTACTCATTTTTTCACTCTCCTCTCTCATTATCATCGCTAACGAACTCCGATGGCGGTGTCTCCTCGGGGCGTATTAGAGGTTCGATCGAGAAATGAAGGTGAATTACCTTTTATTAAGACTCTCTTGAATTGGTAACATCGAGTTGCAAAAATTGCGATAAAATGCGGCGCAGACCAATTTATTTTTTCGTCACTGCCACGATTCCACCCGTTAGCGTTATTTCCATTTTTATGGGAGATTGAGGTCGAGAGGTGTAATGTGCCAATATCGGGACAACGTGTACAACATACACTGTAAATTGTATAAACATTTTTTATTCAATTTTTGAATCGGGGAATTCGCGGGGGCGGACATGGAATTCCGCGGATTTGACGGGAACAATCCGACAAATTTTTAGGTGAATGAGAGTTCGAAGGGAATGAGGGAACATTGTGTTTAATAAATATATTATGTTTAATAAACACACTTGTACAAGGTACTGATGAAGTTCGGCTCCCGACTTGAAATACAGTTTGACACAACAATTATCCAGGTATCCGCTATTTCAGGAGCATTACTCGACAATGGAAGGATATTAAATAACTTCATTAGACTTCATGCAAGTGATTTCCTCTCATCTCCCAATTTTCAAAGTCTTAAACGCCAGTTGAGGATTACAGCACCTGCAAGTCCGTGAAATTTCAAAAATTATTTCACTCGCGTTCCCTTGAAATCCGCACCGAGAGAAAAAAATTCTTAATGTAACGCAAACTATTTCTGGATCTCAGAGAAATTTTTTTTATCAGGAAAGAGTTGTTATCAGTTTGAAATACATTATAGATTTTATAAACATCAAGAAAATTTCTTTCTCAGCGCAAAATGGTGAACATAGACTGTCCATACAATTTGTAATATGCGGTGAAAAAAATGAAACAATTGTATATGTGTTGTAAAGTTGTTGTGGACTCGTGAAGATTAACGTTAAGTCATAACGTAGATAGGAAAAATTTTCTACAGAAAAAAACCGTCGAGATATTTATGGGTTAGCATAGCAGAGTGCCGAGTGTGTCCATCCGAGCGTTGTACATATATATTAATGAGGGCTTAATGAAGAATTTTGAGGGCAACTCCAGCTTTATTTAGAAAAAAATTCTGGAGTGAAATGGTGAAACGTAATAATTTCTACGTTTTCCGCAAAGTTCAGAATTTTCGGCAATTCGGAAATTGTTGGTTCAATTTTTTATTGCATTTTCCAAAATTTCATGTGAATTCTCGGTTGTAACAAATTATAAGGAATTATTCAAGAATGAGAATTTTTTATTTCTCGGCCGAGTGACGAACGATATTTTTTGTTTCAATTCGTAAGCAGTTGGAAAAAAATATATTTCATTATTTATGTGCATGTTTCTGATACTCTGTACAGTGTAGACTTTCATCCCCGTTTTTTCTATCTAACCAGAAATCAGTCAATTTTAACGCGTATAATGAAAGTTTATTGTGCAGTTTAACGTGTATGAAAAATTGAATAGAAAAATCTTGTGATTCCTCTGAAGAACTTTTCTAAATATCTATTGAATTAGTCCATTTATTTCTCGCACTAATTCCTTAAAAATTATTTTATTACCAACAATAATCGTGTAAATAAATTTTTGTAACAAAAAAATGAATAAAAATACAGCAAAAAAAAACTTGGAAAATCCCTTGATTTTTCTATCAATTTCTAGCATGGGTAAATGTAAATAGTAATTAATAAATTCACATGGATGAATGAAAGGAGTCATTGTTAATTATTGGACTGATTGTGTTGGCCTATTTATAATCTTCCGATGCCATCGATTAACTATTGATTAATGAGATAAGGGAAGAGTAACGTACAAGGAAGTAATGCCGAATATTCCCTTACTGTATATGTTGACGGTTTATAAATTTAATATCTGAGCTATAATCTGTAGCTGAGTATGTTCAGTGGTTTGGGAAATTTTTCCGAGGGATGTTTTGACACTCCACATGAAGTTGTTACATACATTCCATTCAGCAATTACGGGGAAACTTTGAGTTGCACTCAGTTGTTAATGAGATTGGGAAACTATTATTCTCGCGTTAATTGGTTGAATATATGTACATAAATACTGAAATTTGTTACTTAGAATAGCGAGAGACATTGGTTCGCGCATTTAACCACCAGTTGATCACCCGTTTTTATTTGTCGACTTGAATATGGAATTTTGAGAGATTATTGTGAATGAATTGTTGTTACTGAAATGGGAGAAAAGGATGAATACATGAGGACATAAGAATGGAAATAAAATGAGAAAATGTCGAATGAGAATTTGGCCGTCAATTTATTTTTGCCTCTACCTATGAAAAGCCTATACCTTTTCAGAAGGAATAATCCGTAAAAAATCTCGGGACATAATATTTTGAATTCCGGAAATTGGGGAAGCATTTTGAGTTCTCACCTACAACTTCGGTGCTATAAATTTTCATGGACGATTCCGATTTCAATAACCGGAAAAGCACCTCTGACCATGTCGGACACACCGATCACTTGCCCATCAATTTTTTCATCCTTTTTTTCGTCCTTTTTTTCATCCTTTTTTTTCACCCCTCAGTCCTGATCCTGATATACACATGGGCACGATCAGAAATGTATCCACTTGTATACAAGGGACAACACACGCTTTTTTTTGTTACATGCAATTGTACCGTGCGGAATGTCGGATAAAAAACAACGCAACAAAAAAGGGACGAGGAAAATTGAAATAAAAAAGAGTGGGAAACCATTTCCATGAGTACTTTGTCAGTGTCGAAATAAATCATCTCACCATCGATCAAGCAGTTTTACGCTCTACCCACATGGGTAATATGCAGTAAAATCGCTTCATACAATTTGTGTGTAGTCCCGCCATTTTTCTCAGGGTTTTACGCACGGGGGGTTGGAAAAAATGGCTCCATAAAATTAACGAAAAGTGGATAAAAGGCTTCGTGATGCTCTACGAGGAATAAAAGCTCATGGCAATGTCTTGGGGCTTTTTCCGGGATTTGTTGTCAGGTTTCCGGTTTTTCTTATGGAGGGTTGAGAATGAAAGGCGCAATCATCGCTTCGTATCTATCATTGCGGTGACACACCATCAATCATCGAGTTTATTCGTTTGATAACGAGCAAAGCAAGTTTATAGTTTGTTAACAGCAGCTTTCCCCATTTTACAGATCATTGGCGATTTTTTTTTTACTATCTACACTTCTCGCTGTATTATGAATTAATTGAAAAACCCGGATACACTACTACAAGCCCTTTTTGTAGGCTATTCTATTGAATTTTGGTTACACTTCAATTACTGCTAACGAGTATTTAATAGGATTGAATGTTGCTTCACGTTTTATTTATTTTTGGTTGAACTCTGATATTTTTTCGTCGATTTTTTTATTTAATTTTAACAAATATTTATTCGTATTGTTTTTACGCCAGCAGCAGGATTATGGTTATTATATGTTTTGCGGAGAGAATCAAATATTTTCAATTATTTATTACCCCCCGAGGTTTTTTTAATAAATAACGAATTTTGCAGCGGTGGAAATGATGGGTGAATGTACTTTGTGGGGCTTAAGGACGACAGATCATTTTGCGGAATGGTGGATAATAGAATGCGATGGATCGAGGATTGAGTGGGAATTTCAGTGGATGGCAGACAGAACAAAAGAGAACAAAAACGGTATGAAAACGTCGTTCATCAATGCCGTTTAACGAGAACTGCCCACATATTTTCTCCCGCTCGCACTTCCATTTTCCCTTTTCGTATTTTTTCAAGAATTTTTCTTTTTTCCGCTGTGGCCTTTTTGGCCGATTCCCTTCGTTCGATCCCTGATACTAGGGCCACTAGCATTTAAAGACTTCGTTAAAATTCCTCCGCCGAATGAGAGAATTCACCTTTTTATGGAGTACCACGAGCTACTGTGATTGACTCGTTAACAAATCGCACACCCATTTATTTTTCCCATCAATAATTCACGCGTTAAAAGTGGATGGTTATTTTCCTATTTTTATGGACTGTCCGGGTGTTTTGAAAATTCACGGTGAATAAATAGCGGCTATTTTTTTGACAGTGCCTTCATACTCGAAAATGTGCTTTGAAGTATTTGAGAATATTGATTGATGCTGGAGATATAAATCCATCGAATTCATGAGGAATAACTCACCGATAAATGATTAAAGCATTCTCATGGAATTTATCCGTCTCTGGTCTTGAAATATCAAAGTAACAAATCTCGTCGAGTTGAAATGGCGATTTGTAGTCTTAAAGTAAAAATATCATTTTTACGTTTCAACTTACTCTTGATCGGATATTTGATAATTTTTTGACGTTAAAAAGCACTTGTGTCACGCATTGGGTTTTATTTATTTCTCCACTCGATCATTTGGCTTTTTAAATGAATGCATACGCTATGTGCACAATTGCATTAAATTCGTCATATTTTTCAACGCAGAAAACATACTATCAGCCGCAGGCGAATACACTGAAAGAAACTTTTCATGAAAATTCTATCGCCAGAGCAAAATGGTATTGGGTGTGACACGAATTTTTTTTGACATTTTCGCGTTAAAAAAAAATTGGCTATGCAATTATTTTCCGGCTCAGATAATTTTTAAATGAGTAAAGCACTTCAATTTCGATTTAATTATTCTGTAAAAATAATGGAAAATAGCGAGTTACGAGAAAAATAGAATTTTATCATCAGGTTACCCCCGAGCCCTTAACTTTCTTCATAACAACGGAAACGAACAAAGTAAATTTAAATTTCCCTGAAGGAATTCATAACATCCGCAACGAGAATAAACACGAATGGACGAAACATTTGCTGAAAGGAAAAAATTCATTTCCGTATTTCTTTTATTGTTGAGTTTCTCTGTGCGGAATTTGCCTGTTTAATCGTTAACGAGATGGAGTACACAGTTCCGGTATATTCCATAATCCCTGAGAGATACTCCCAGATGATCAAGCCTCCTGGGAGCGTATCTAAAATCCCAGGCAATCGATTAATTTAAATATTGCACATGCAGATAAGCCAGAAAACACATGTTCTCACTCACCCACTGATGACTACTTTGTAACTCGACTTCAATCGCCTCTTCGAGGATAACACCACTCTATCCAGCAGCTGATAAAGACGAGAGACACTATCATCCGCAGATATGTGCACTAGATAAACTGTACCACCGTTCAACGATCTCACTTTCAACTGGAGCTCGTCTATTCCTCCTGATGAAGAATTTAATTCGCGAACAATCGGATGCTGAAAAATTACCGAACACTAAATTATTAATAATTCCGCCATTACTATTATTTTCATCCTCCAAATTAAATTTTTCGAGTAGTTAAAAAACTACTTTGAAAAATGCTAGAGATGTGAGAAGAAAATTCATTGAATTTTGCTCTTACTCCATTCTTTGGTTTTTCCATAGTCGCGGACTTCGACCCCCGGACTTTATTTGATATTTTACTCGTTCCCACGGTTTTATCATCTCTTTTAGTCATCGCAGGGGCCTGATCACGAGTGCAGGCCCTGGAAACAGGTCTTCCCCGACACCTGATTCCAGAGGCACTAGCAGATCTAGCGCGAGTCCTGGAATCCGATCTGATGCTGAAAAATAAATATTGTAATATCCAAAGTAAAATGCTTATTTGTTTATTGGGGGCTGATAATTAACGGATAACAAGTGTTTTGGAATAATCAGATTAAATTCATCATTCTGATATCTGATTATTCCAGGACTGACGAGCCTTTCCGGTGATTACTGATAATTCGATCGCGAATGCAATTCCTCTCCATCGACAACTGCGCACTTCACTTAAACATTACGTGTGATCTTATTTTTTTCTTGTACTGAGCGAACAATTATTAATTGCCCTGCTGGGTTTTAATGGAAACAATAATGATAGATGATAACCTGGACGGGATGTTGAAGGCTGAGCGATAGGTGCTGAAGCGATTTTTCAGAGTATCTGCAGCCTGATTCAAATACTTTGCCTGCTCTTGAACATGGAGGTGATTGTCGGCATTACTTGCAATCACTGGAGCTTTCTAAAGTCATGAGGAATGATTAAATAAGTCCGGAACGTTAAATCTCAAGCACGACCAAAAAATTCGATCGGATAAACTAGCGCTTTCTGGATTTTTTCAATTGAATTTTTTCGTGCGTCTTCATTTTTAATATTGATTGAGAGAATTTTTTACTTTCTCAGATCTACTCGTCAGTGTTAACTCTGCATTAATGTGGGATTGGAGATGACTGTCTGAGCAATTGTGATTGTGAGAGGCTAGAATTTGGGAGCGGAGGTCCGAGAAATCGGGATCGGCCAATCTAGGAAGGGATGAAAATGAAAAATCAATCTCTCATCATCTGAATACCAATAAAATTGACGTTCAACAGATCGTTCGTTTAATTCCAGTCGATCTCACGTGATTTACCTAGCAGTCGAAGGCACTTGCGGAGTTTTGACTGTCGCATCCTGATTACCGGGCCTAATTAAAAACAATATTATTACATACAACTTTCATTGACATGTTCACACCGAGATTAATATTCCGTAAAAATGGCATATTTTTTTCGGGCGAAATAAAATTATGCAGAACTTCGCAGATTAAAAATTCTTAAGATTTTTTTTTTTCTCAAATCTGCGGCTCACCTAGCGCTAAATGACATTCTAGGGGTGCTAGAGCTGGAATTGACCCTCTGCTTCGGCGTCTGGGCTCTTTTTGGTGAAGAGATTCGATTCTTCACCCGACAAGAGCTTGAGGAACGAATCACCGACACTTTTCCGAGAGAATAACCCTGGCCTGGGTAATTCGCGCCTTCACCGAAGTACATTTCCGCTTTGTGATCCTCCACCTGATTTTTCAAAAACGATCTGTTGTAAAAATTGGTATGAATTTCCGAAATGGAATTCAAAAATGAATATGGATATTAGATCGGGAATTCAAATGAATCGAAAAATTCTGGACCTCCCGACGATTACCCGACGAGTACTGGAATTTTTTCATTTTTCTATTTTTTTTTTAGCGGTGCAGTAAACGGAAATGTAGAAAACCTTGAATGGCACGCCATTGGGGTAATCATGTTGGAGCTCGCCTGGAAAATAACCGTCGAGGATATCTTGGATGAATGATCGCGTCCGGGGATCTGTGTATGGGCGTAATCGGCCTTTCTGCACGATCATTCCATTTTTGTAGAATTTTAGAGACATGCAGGACTGAGACTGATTTAATGAGAGGAATTTTTCTATTAATTTCAGAGGTATTACTGAAGAAAAACTACTTTTCGAAGAATTGCGACACCTAATGAATTCAATTTTCAGTAAAGAGAATTCTCTTCCCGTGAAAGTTCTTAATTTTTTCCAAAAGTAGTTTTTTTTCTTGGAATTTTTAAAATCAGTGAATAACTTTGAATGAGGCTAGGCCATGGCTGTGGTGCACGTGCATCTCATCTTTTCCGACCGATAAATTCAGCTCCTGAATGTTTTCCAGTAACTGAGGGTAATTACTCATTACGAAGTCACTGAAATGTACGGAAAACTGAGGAATTATTTTCATTTTTAAACTTCATTCCAAAGGATTTACTTGGATGTCTCTTCGGGAATTTTGGGACCCGCGGGGGACTTTTCTCCGACCCAAACCAGGCCGTAATCCGCGAGGAATTTCTGAAATTTTCAGACGCTGAATAAATATTTGTCAACAAATATTAATATTCGTTCTTTGACAACGCCTTCATTAATCAGTGTTTATACAAAAATGGAAATAATTAAATTCCCTGTTTATTAAATTATTATATGAACATTTTTTCAGGACTTTAGCGAATTTTACCTCCATTTCACAAACTCTGCTTTCGTATCTCATGCAACGTTTTCGAATGTGTTCAGCATTGTCAATCTGTGACTGACGTTTTTGCATTTCTCTTTTGTAAGTTGACTCCTGATTTCTGTTTTTCACCTCCCACTCTCTCACCTAAAATCATCCAGAATCGTAAAATGGCGCCGATTAATTATCCGGGTGGATAGATAATTATGCACGTGAAAAAAGTCAGACTTTTCGTTTCAAACGCTCAATGTGTTGGTCCTTGGACTTCAATCTTTCCTCAGCTTTTTTCAACACTACCTGCATTCTCTGCATCTGGTTGCCTGCAAGATACAGTTGTTTGGACAGCATTCCTATGAGTTCACTCTCTGAACACCAATGGAAACCAGAAAAAGGAGATTATGATTTTATCTTTCTGCGTCAACGGTTTCGAAATTATCAGAATATTCATTACCCTCTTCCACTCGCCCTTTTGATAGACCCTGTAATTTTTTATTGGCGATATCCATGACTGGAATCTAAAACGATGTAATTTCTACGGCGTTAATATTTATTTTTTAATATTATTCAAGTATTTCTTTGTATAAGACAGTAAAAAAATTAAACAATAGTCTGCGCATTTTATTACTTACTCTTAGGGGAGTAATTTCGTCCAGTCCACAATATTTTTTATACTCCGAATAAAAACGAGTGGAATTTTTTGACTTGAACGGAAAATTGGGACTCGATGTCTTCACTAAATAATTTTGTATATGCTCCTGTTGGCTGATGGCGGTCATCGTGTCTCAAAAAATCAAGGGGATTAATCTAGAGTATTCGTAACATTTTTATTCCGAATTTCCCAGAGGTTTTGAATGGCTGTAGTTAATTTTTGGTTCAGTCTAACGTCAGCTCGATAAAAAAATTGGGAGAAACTGCACCAAACTTCAGGTGTCTTTTATTTTGCATTAAAAAAATTTAATCAGTCTAGAGGGCATATGAAAACCCACAAAATTTAATTTTTTTACAAAACTTCATAAGACATTTTTTTTCATGAACCAATCGCTGGTTTTGCATATAATATGATTAATAAATATGAGAAGAAATTTCCTTCCGGAATTTTCAAAGTTTATTTTCAGAAAATTTGAGTTTTCTGCTTCTTCGGGGGAAAGTGAGAAGAAAGTTTCTTCGACGAGTGTAAAAAGCATTTCAAATTGGCGCCTCGCGGAGTGCCGTCGTGGTATCGATCCCGACAGACCTCCACCCACCGCCATCGCCATCGGCTGCGCGTCATCACGTGATCCCAATGACGTCACAACCTGAGGTCGAGGCTACATCTAGAGTCATCGACGTAGCGGTCTAGCGTTGCATTTCGTTGCATTGCTCCCCAGTACGTAACAATCTCGTTGTGTATCCGATGCACATCAAAAGTGTCCGCACCCCGTGTTCTCCAGGTTACCGGTATTTGTCAAAATAATTACACCACCGATGACATAAAACATTTAAAGTTTTTTTTCATCTATCGGGTCGCGGGGAAAGTCAATCCCTTAAACACGTGTCAACCCGAAAATGCGGGAAATTAGTGGGGAAAAGCCGCACACCGAATACATGGCGTGTCGCAAGCACTGCATCAAGGTGAGTTATGAAAGAACTTGTCATTATCATGTAACAGTTTCAACCATTTCCCGTAATCAGGATGTTTCCGTTATTCTCTGGGACATTGTTGACTCTGGGTAATGGCATTTCGTCGGTAATCACCGAAGTGATTAGGATAAGCAATCTCGATGCATTGAGTGCACGTCAGGAGAGTGCAGTTTTTTCGACACTCATTTTTAGGTGATATCTCGAAATTGAAGGAAGATAATGATATTTTTGTAAGGACATTTTTTGTACAGAAAAGTGAAAGCTCCAGATGAGGTATCTATTAAAATACCTGTATTTTGCCTCTGTTTCAAGATATTCCACAAAAACTGATATCGAAAAAAATATATTTTTCATTTCGGTAAAGAATTCGATACTCCATTTCGAATTTTATGCATGAGTCATTCCTTCAGGGAGTCGTTGCATACAATTGACGGTTTTCAATGGTTTCTTTTATTTTATTAAAAAGATCTCATGAATCTTTAATTATTGAGAGAATAAATTAATTTTTTTTCACATTTCAATCATATATTCAATTAATTCGGGCGCAAAAAAAATTGAGCAAAGATTCAAGTAAGAATATAAAATTGATTGTTTCCCTTGGGATTCCCCCCACGTGAGTTTGATGACCCACATTCAGAATATCGTCCTGGGTGTGTCCTGGTAAGAATTTCTGATCATCAGACTGAACATTGAAACTTATTCAGTCCGATGTTTTCGTTATGATTATTTTGTTGCGAATAAAAACGCAACTCGCTCGTGCACATATCGATTTCCTGTTGGAAAATTGATGCCGGTAGTCCAAGGTCTTGTCGAAGTTTAGCGCATAAATTTATTTTAAGTGGATTATTAACATTCTTCATTATTGCGTTAATTATTGATAAATAGCTCAGTGCGTCGAAAGGGCTGAGAATTTATTCCTAGGGAGAAATAAAGAGAATATTTTTCTGAGGGAGTAAAAAGCTCGATGGAAAGATGATTTAATAAACTCATTGTCTGGCATTAATTTCTGTGCAATAAAGCAACTCGTGATGTCTTCAACTGGTGGTAATCATGACAAAAATGACTCCCTCGTGATGCCAATGCCCTAAACCATACGATTTTATTAAGTATTAGTCTTGAAGATCGTCCGCATGACTGAGGTCAATTGCTCGACAAGGAGAGGACCATGATTATCGCACTCCACTTCACAATTAAATAGACGTGAAAAATTCCGGCAATCGTAACTTTTATGATTTCACCAGTCATTTCCGCGGTCATTCGAGGAGACAAAAATAAAATCCACTTGTCATTTTCACGTCGTTTCGCTAATCATCTCAGCTTCATCAGGTTCATGAGTTGATCAAAGTCTAGTCCTATTTCTCTTAATGAATCGACCCGATGAACAACTGATCTCAATTCTCACGAGATCATAATTCTCATTTCAGCCCATTCTGTTTTTTCCATTTTTTAATTATTATTTCAATTGCAAAAACCGTTGAAATATTTTCCACAGAAATTTATCTCCACGAATTGTTCAGTTATTATTCAAAAAGCTTGATTAAATTAATTTAATGTCACTGGTAGAGTAAATCTTTGTGATCATTGACTAAAATTACGTTTTCGTGGTGTTCCATCGGGATTTTCATGGATGGTGGTGGGGAAAATGAAGAAATGGGACAGACATTCATTGCCTCGTGGCTTGAATGAAGCCGACAGTCAGTGGTGATAATCCTGCCTTGGTGATTACATCGATCTATCCGGATTTCTACAGTCATTCATATATTTCCCGTGCTTGTAATCAAAGTAATTAATGTGAGACGTTTTCTTTGGCCTAATCAAAACGACAATATTTTTTCTTCCTTATCGTTGCTGTTCTTTTGAATTTCATTGGCCATTATGTGGTGCTTATTTACCTATTGATATTAACCTTGATGTTCTTTCACGTCATTGAATATTAAATCGTTTATTAATGAGTGATTTCGGGGAGCCGGTCGGGTAAATGTCTCGTGCAGAATTTTATTCGTATTAATTGTACTCAGGATTCATTGCAGATAAATGCGGCATGACGTGTTAGAACTGTAAATTTATTTTATTACTAATTTACTCAAGCTTAAGTCAATTCTTTGTCTCAACAGAACTTTAATGATCAATACTGCACTGTCATTTTAAGTTTGAGGAAATATTTACGTGTCGTACTTGAAGTTTATGCGTATTTTTTTTCATTTATGTTAAACCACTCAATTGTCGCTTAATTGCAAATTCCGTCTGTCATTGTAATTCTTTTGTAAATTGTGAGGGAAATTATGCTCGAGGAAATGACCGGATTTTTTTGTAGAAATTGTTTTTCTTGTCAAGACAATGTCTGCAATAGACTGAAATGGTTTTTACGATCGCAAGTGGAAATAACGAGATATTTCTATGCAAATTTCTTCGCTGGAAAAAATGACTCATTACCGAGATAAATTTTGAAAAACGGGTATGGCGATTCAGCTGCATTTGAATACCATATCTTTACGAGATATTGTATTCAAAGAAATATATCTCAAATATATCTCATAGCGAGGATTTTCTGTTGAAAATGCGAATGGCATAAATTTCATTTGAATGAATATTTTAATTTGAAATACCATTCATCTGGAAATTAGCATTTAAGATTAATGTGCGTTTAATAGAAATACAACTTTGTCATGTTGAGAAATGGATAGCAATCAGTCATTCTCTCATTGCTTGACAGCTAGTGGACAATGACACGATATGAAAGGAGAACTAGGATAATTGTATTTGAGTGACTCATTCCAGTTCCGTCCTCGTTAGATATGTTGATGTGACATTAATCCTGAAGAGAAAAATTGCAAGGAAATATTCTCATGATCTTGTCCCATTGAAATTCAATAAGGTTGAGGTATGTGGGAATCCCTACCCCGTAGGGAATATGAATTCGAGGAATTTTTATTGCACTTTGTGGGGGATTATTTAAAAAATGGGAGCGACTGTGAGAACGTGACCCATTGACTTCCCTGAGGGATAACGACAAGTTCCTCAGAAATTATTTTGTAGAATGAAATTCATTTGTCCCTCAGCTTTACTCTAGAGATTGATATTAAAGTTGACACAATGGATAGATATTGATTAATTCCATGTCGATTCCTGGAAAAATTCACGACGAAACAACAAACCTTTATTGCTTCATTGTTTTCTTAACTTTTGACCCCGTGTGTATCACCTACACCATTCGATGAATTATTAACAGAAATACGTAGATTTCACCTCGAAAATTTTTTATTCCCAGTAATTCAGATGCATATCGCAATTTAGAAATGTGAAAAGCAAATTGTTATTTACTATCCGTAATGTAACTTTTTTTTTCTCAGAACGCAAGGTGATTGTGGCTCATTACAGTGCCATTCCGTTCGTGAGGACAAGTAATCGATTTCCTCCAATTACATCAGAGCAACAATGGATGATCCTGAGAAGTACGAATTATAACAATTCAATACTATCCAATAAAAATATAATATAATAAAGATGAATAAGTATAAATATAAATATCTCAAAGTAAATGATCTTCATTGTTAATTCTTTGACTCTTTGCGATGATTATTCAATTATTATTTGATGAACAGGTACGAGGGTCACCTGTACAGACGTCCCGGTTTCAGTATCCGCAGGTTCGGAGGTAAAAACTATTGAATTTTTATAAATACCATCAATGCCCCAGTTACTGATAATTTCAGATATCCCCGTTTTTCCAAGGATCACATACGCTTCGGATACATAAACTGCAATAAAAAAAATTTTTTTTTCGGCATTTGTTTACAGACATGGTCCCAGCACGAGTTGTACTGTACATGCTCTCGTTCTCCGGATTTCTCGTCTCATTCATGATGAGAATGGACATAAATTTAGCTATGGTGGAAATGGCTGAAATGCCGAGTTCTAATGAGAATAATAACAGTAACGCTGAGGCTTATTGTTACGAGGGCAATGCAAATATCACGAGCAGTCGAATTTCTCGAGAAGTGAGTGATAATTTATTGAAAAAAAAATTTTAACCACGAGAGAGATGAATGCAGTTTATTTCCTCAGCTGAGTAGTCGATCAGATTTAAAGCTCACGTGGGTTAATTGATTTGTCATCGACGTTCTTTGATTCCAGGGGTCTGGAGAGTTTGATTGGACTCCAACAGTACAATCAGCCATAATTGGCAGCTTCTACTGGTGTTACATACTGTCCCAAGTTGTTGGTGGTGTATTAACCCAGTACTTTGGTACAAAGACTGTTTTTGGAGGATCACAACTACTCACTGCTATTTGCAGTCTTCTCATTCCAACTGCTGCTGATATCCATTACTCCGCGATGATTGCCTTGAGGAGTATCCAAGGAATAGCGAGTGTATGTAATTAATTCAACGAGAAAGGCAATATTGCCTTTTGCAATTATTCATAAACTTATTGGCTTTCAGGGCTTGACTTGGCCAGCAATGTATGCCATAGTTGGTCATTGGATTCCCCCCGTGGAACGTTCGCGTTTCATGTCTTCCTTCCAAGGTGAGAGTCCAGTCAATGGATTATCTGAAAATTTTTACCCCTGGGAAGACGTTTAATGCACCACTAAACAAAATTTTTATGTGTTACAGTGAAACTTCAATTACCTCGCGCTAATCTACCCCATGCCCATAACTCGATTATTTGTCCAACAATTTGAATAAAATTCTCAACACTAATGTCCACATGATTCTTTCAGAACAGAACAGTTCATAAATCTAAAATATTCTTTTTCAGTTAAAATTTAATGTTAATGTTAATTATGAAAACGCTCTTTGCGTCCGAATGGAAGATTTGTAATTGAAAAAATTGATGTTGTTCTCAGAATCGATTAACATCAGAGAGACATCAACGGACCAGAGAAGAGAAAAAGAAAAGTTACTTTGAGAAAAAAAAAATCCATTCGGAAGCAATCAGCTAATTTATTATCAGCAATAACTATACTCATTTATAAAAATGCAATGATCGACTTGTTTCACGATTTAGAGGGCCAATTGGTGCTGCTGAATTCGTCCGGACTCAGGGGTATACTCGATCAGTCAAGTGATAAAAAAAAAACCGCTCAACAGCATGAGAACGGCAAGAGTATACTTCCAGCCTGGTTGAATCAGCCAGGACTACCACACAGTAGATACCAGAATAAAATCATTTTTAAGTTGATTTTACAGGCAAGAAGTTTCATTGTCCCACTCGACTTGTCACTTGCAATCATTCATAACAACATGGTGTATTATTTTTTGTTATTCTCTCCCCATTTCGATCACACTAAAACATCATTTGGATCCCATTGCAGAGTACAAATGGCCAATGGAATTATTGTAAAAATAGCCTGGTGATATCGAGATTTGCATAATGGCCCGAATATTTGAGAGAATCTTCATGTTATCATCCTACCTCTACATTGGGATTGTTCACGTTGGGGTGAGCGACACTTTAACAAGCTCCATTATCTATATTCAGGGTTCAGTTTTGGAATCGGCCTTACCTATCCACTCTGCGGATTTATTATCGCCCATTATGGATGGAGAGTCGTCTTCTATACAACTGGCACCATTGGGGTCTCCTGGTGCTTCTTTTGGTACTTCTTTGCTTTTGATACACCAGCTACACATCCCAGGATTACGCAGCATGAGCTGAGGTATATTCAAGGGAGTGTTGGCAATCAAGTTAGTGAGGTGAGGATTTTTTTTTTTCAATTCACTTGGTTTGAGTCGAATGGTGAAATGGTCGAGAACATTCTATGAGAAATTCATTTCTACGAGGTCTGAGGTTTAATTAGAATTTAACAATTATTTCAAGGGTGTGAAAACTCCGTGGATGTCGATGCTGTTTTCGATGCCTGCCTGGTCCATTGGAATTACAACTTTTGGGAGAATTTGGGTGCATTACGTGTTCATTATTCCTGGACCAATGTACATGAAAACTGTCCTGGGTTTTGATATTCAAACCGTGAGTATTTTCCGATTGGTTGCAATGGGATTCCTTCAGAAAAACCTAATCTCTTCATTTCAGAATGGTGTACTCTCTGGTGTCCCTTTTATATGCAGTTATCTGAGTTCAGTGGTTTTTTGCTACGTGGCAGATGTACTCGTAACACGACAGATCATGACGCTGACCAATGTTCGAAAATTATTCACAGCAATTTGTGAGTGGAATTTGTGAGCTCTGAGTAGCGGACCTCTCTATTAGTCCAAAAAAAGATTCAATTTAATTGAGAGATGAAAATCGAATTTTTTTCCAGAAATTTTTGGAAATTTGAAAATTTGGGAAATTTTTTTGAAAAATATTTTTTGAAATTTTTTGGTTTTTATTTTTGAAAAATTTTTGAAAATTCTCGGGAAAACTTATGAGTTCTCAGTAGCAATGCAAACAAATGTCTTTATTTTTTTTCGCCGAGAAAAAGAATAACTACTTCAATCCGTTCTTCACTATTTTCAGCTCAAGTAGTTCCGGGAATTCTCGTCCTGCTGATTGGCTATCTCGGTTGTAACTTCATCCTGGCTCTCGTTATCTGGTTCGTAGCTGTTACTTTGATAACAGCAGCTTACGCTGGGGCAATGGCGAGTATCGTGGACATTGCACCCAACTTTGCGGGGCCAGTCCTGGCATTTGCTCAGACAATTCACATGACAGCTTCATTTTTATCACCAATTGCTGCTGGTGTTATAACCCAAGACGGCGTGAGTATTTTTCTTTTAATCAGTAAATCACACGTCAATAGCTCACATCCGTGAGCTCTCAATTGAAAGGAATATTTTTTTCTCCGCTTCTATAGCAAACTCTAACAGCGTGGAGACAAGTCTTCGGTTTGACGAGCTGCATTGCCTGTGGTACATACGTCATTTACCAAATATTTGGCACAGCTGATATTCAGCCATGGAACTATCCGGACCAGAAAATTCCACAGCCATTGAGCGACGATGGCGAACCTCTCAATGATACTTCTCAAAAAAATGGGAAAATCATTTCCAGGCGATCCAGTCTCTCTGGACAGCCGTAGTTCATTTACATTCTACGTTAGAGTAATTATTATAAGTACTATGGACATTCTCAATAACTTGCACAAAAGCCTGTGAGTGAAAATGTGGCAGTAATTCACTGACTTACTGAGAGAAAAAAAAAAGACAAATTTTAACAGAGAACATTCTCTTGTATCATGTAAATTTCCTCTGTAAAAAATAATTTCATCTCTCAGTCTACATTTTTCTTCTTGAATTGAAGACTAAGAGTTTTCTAAACTAGTCTTTTATTTAAGAAAAAAACAGTGGGTGGGTTGGGAGAAAGAAAAAAATATGTCGAAAGACTCGAATCAAACTATTTTTGTGGAATTTGAATCTCAGGTTTGTGTGTGCTCGAATGCTTACATTCGGAGAAGTAGATTTTTTTTAATGACATGAGCACAAAAATTACTAAAAAAGTCAGGTACTTATTTGGATTGTCCTGCCTGCCATTCTCTGTTATTTCTGTGATCAGAATTTGTATGGAAACGTTAATTACTTAGTAGAGAAATTGAGGAGGAGTAGTTACTCGTAATAAAGTAAAACACGAAACAATATTGATAACTACTTACTAGTTGATAGATTGAGTTCGTACAGCAGCAGGTATGAGTACTTTTTCATTAAACTTTTTATCTCAATTTCCAAGTAAATTTAAGTTTTCTCACGGTTGCAATTTTTGTAAGGGAAATCTCTTTTTTTTTGTATTTGTCACAATGTGATAGTATTGTTTACTTCTATTATGGACAGATGAGAAAACGAACATGACAACATTTTAAAATATATAGCACATTCGAAATACTAATCTTATCAGTGCCTTGCATTAGAATCTACAAACAAAACTTCACTTCATCTTCCATCGAATAAATAAAACGTGTTATTCACCGTCATTTTTTTTTTCAATGATCAAATGAAACGAAAGGATGGGTATACGAATGGAAAAATTGCTCGAAATATTTCTGGGTTGAAGTAGTGGAAAGTCAAATAAATTGTAATTGAATTAAAATTATATGAGAGTGGAATTGAATCGCAACTCGACATTTTCCAAACGCAATACCCTGAACTGGTCTATTTACTTCACTCTCTCACCCGCTGAATAATTATTTCTCATGTCAATTTCCGGAAAAAATCATTCCCTAACTTCAACGCAGAATTATCCCTTAATAATAATGTTTAATCAATTCCTGTGGTTTAGTAATAATCTTCTGAAAATTAATGTTGTAAATCTGTTAATCACCGAAATTCTTTAGATCTCGTTACCTTTACGTTCGATTAAAAAAAAAATTAATCAAGAGAATTATGTACCTTAATCGTATACTCGGGTTTGTTTATTGTAAAGATCTTCAGAAAAACCTGTCAGTACTACATAATATGAAAAAATATAATTTTCCTATAAAAAATCAGTTCGTTGTGTTATTCCTCAATCAAAATGCCCGGAGAACTGAAAATTGTATATCAATCGTTCTCAAACTGATAAGAAAATCGTTGGAAGACGAGATAGCTGGGTCGCGAATATTTGCAGATGGTATCAGGGCTTTTACGCAATTGAGTTACAATTTTCCGTATTGAAAAAGTTGAATAAATGTTGGCACTCTGAAAAAATCGCCTTTGGAATACAACTCTGACCTCTTTATCGTGTAATTGAGCGTCTAAAATTCATCAGATCGTCGTCCTCTTGAGAGTGAGAGAGTCATCATAGACGAGAGATTCTTGTCGAGAGTGATTATATTTATTGTGGGATTTATGGCCGCGAGACGGAATTCATATCTCTAGTATAAAGCACTCAAGTTCGAATCATTCCGTTTTGTGTCGATTGGATCGACGTGCTGCAACGATCTCGCGAGTTAATTAATTTAAATCGATTAATTATAAGTCCTAGAATGCGGTAAGTGATCATTTACTTTTTTCAATCCGAGGGTTAAAAAAAATTATTCTCGCAATAGATCGAATCTTTTTGGAAATTTTCCGTTATTCATTTCTCAATTAATTTCTCTCGATTTTAAATTACTCCGTTATTTCAGGCTTCTCGTTGTGTTTGCTGTAATTACCTGTATACTACTCATGACTGAAATTGCATCAGCGAAAAAAGAATACAAGAAGAAAAAGAGAGATGTGGAAAGTTATGAAACGAGGTACATAAATAAATTCATCGGATCGAAATTATCGAAAATCTTTCATTCATATCGATAATTTTGCTATTTCTGGATTCTGAAAAATTCTCCGAAATCCTGGCTTCTTCGATTAATTTTTTTTATCGTTTTTTATGCAGTGATGACGAGAAGCCATCTAAAAAATCTAAACTGAAGCTGAATGAAAAACGAAAAGAGAAGGATAAAAAGGTAAAACTAGTGGGAAACAGTCAGGAAGACGAGGACGAAGAAACCGATTTGAAGATGAGTGAAGAGATAACCATTGAAGAACGTGAAAATCGGAAGAACGTGAAATCCAGGAAGAAGCAAAAGAAGTCGAGGAAGAGTGAGCAATTGATTGAGGATGAACAGAGGTCTGATGAGGACGAGGAAGGCTCTGCCTCTGCGGTGAAGCCTTCGAAGAAGAAAAAAAATAAAAAATCCCAGTCCTCCGATCACGAGGGGTCCGGGCAAAGTGAAGAGCGTAAAATAAAAAAGCAGCAGAAAACCTCCAAGAAGAAGAAGAATAAAATGAAGACTGAGGAAGAGGACTCAGAGGGAAAGGAAGCGTCTGGAGAACCCGAGAAAAATCGGAAGAAGGACAAGAAGTCGTCTGTGAATTCGAAACGAGGAAAAGATAAAGAGGAAATTGTACATGAAGATAATCCCGAGGAAGAAAATGAGGAAATCAATGAAGAGGAGACAAAAGATGATTCAGACAGCTGTCAGGCCAAATCTGGTGGGCAAAATCAAGATCCATTGGGGAAGAACTGCAGGCATTAATTTTTATATTAATTTGAATATTTCAGGAGGAAAAGAATTCTACCAATGAATTCTCACCGACTGACTTTCATAATTTCTTATCTCAATTTATTGTTCCCATTTTTTATTTACATTAGTACATTAGCGCCATGAGTTAACGTAAAATTTTTTTTTCGCAATATCTGTCAATTTCCATGGAGTTATTGGGCAAGAGTTACAAGAAAAATAATCAACGAAAGTTATCGCTCCAACTAGAGTAATCTATTAGTGCACATTAAATTGTTTCGTCACCCCGAATTATTCTTTATTACTGGTATTTCCTGTGGGTCAACGTCTGGGCTTAGGGGGGGCACGTGGATTCGGTTTATTGTGCAGCATGTGCTCGCACTTTGGTATGTGACGTTCAGCAGCACCTTGATTAAATTTTCTACCGCAGTGTGGACACTGGATGTAATCGCTTGTATCACTTGCAGGTGGGGGTGGTAAGTCACTCAATTTACCACCCGCTGCCAAGTGAGCTTGCATCTGCTTCGCCGATCTTATTGCGTTTATGAAGTCCTCGTGTTTACGACGCCAATTTGATTTCACCTCTGATTTTTTGGTTTTTTTCTTGAGAGAGAGAAAAAAAATCGTGGATCACAGATAGAATTTTTTTTTTACATTCTTCATTCAAGAATATTCATGATATTGGTCCTTCAAATACTTACATCAATTCCCTTCTTCCCCATTTTTTTAACGAAAGGCTCTAACTCCGTCCCCTTGACTCTCTGCACAACAGGATCGAAAGTTTTTCTTTTTTTCTGAGTAGTTTTAATGCATATTTGTTCATGGAACGACAGACGATCTGAGGCAAAACTCCTCCCACAAATTTTGCACGCTGGCAATCGAGAATCCCTAAAAAATATCAATTCAATAATATTAGAAAAATAATTTCCTAATGAGCCCGGCGTCTCTCACTCAGAAAACGTGGAAAATCGAATTGAACAGAATGATAACCACCAATTCTATTTATTTGTGTTGATAAACTCACGTAGCTAGGATGTTAGATCTCGCACTCGGTGTACGATTACCGGAATTAACTCCTCGTGTTTTCGTAGCCATTTTGCTTTTCGAGGCAGGAGAATTCGCTCCTTGATTCGAGCTTGAGCTCGAGTTTGTCGATATTGCCGAAGCTGGCCGATTATTTGATACTCTTTGCCTCGACTGGGATGTTTTCTATTGGAATTAATTTTTTTTAATGAAAAATCATGATCGTAGTGCGCAATAATTTAATCCAGCTGTCATATTTATAAACTGCAACTCACTTCTGGTGATTGCCTGTCATTCGATGATTTTTTTACACTCAAAATGGATTTAGAACGCGGTTCACCCTCCAATTCAACCACAAACGCTGAGTTTTTTCTCAGAGATGTTCTCTCACTAGGATTTTGTCTCGTCTGCTCTTCGTTAAAGTCCACAACATCGAAAGACCGAGGATTTTCCAATTGCTTTTCTCGATTGGAGCCTCTAGACGTCGGCTGATGTAAAAACAATGGAGCATTGTAATTAATGCCAATCTAAAAAGTGATTTTCTCGGGGAAAACATTGAATGGAGAGAAAAGTTCAGTTATATAAATGACTGGACTATTTAAAAAATTACTCAATTCATTATTTTTGGTTTAAAAACGCTATTACTGGTACGAGACTAATTTTTCTGCATCGTACACAATTCTGGGATGAAAGAAATATTTTTCTCTCTGTTTTCACGAATTATTTCGTAATTCGTCATTTTTTTCTCCGACTTTTTTCTCCGTTTATACAGATAAACAGTCTTACCCTTGAAGTAACATCCGAATTGTTTCTACTGACACTTTTCGTCTCATTAGAAGTAATCCTCGGATTATCTGGACTCGGAGTTTTGTCAATCCTACGGGCAGGTTTGACGTTTATCTCTGAGAAAACCCGGGCTTTACGGGCACCGAGCTCAACGAACTGATTAATATATCCAGTACGTCGAGCTGTGGTCGGAGAAATAATTCTAATTGTAACATTCGGACTAATTAAATTAGTTGATTCATCGATTGGCTTTCCCCCGGAGTTGTCCCGAGTCATCGAATTACGAATGTCCTCGATTGATCTCAATATTTTTAACGGCTGTTGAGCTGCACCACTCACAGGCCAACATTTTCCCATATCCGATGTATTCTCGATAGTAATTGTCTTTCCACTGCTTCTAGTTCCCTCAGAAGCGACATCTGATTCAGAATCCGTGAATAATTGTTTTTTACAAGACGGCGATGGAGATCTTTCTAATTTTTTCGCAACTTTTTCCCCTTTGGATGCCTTCAAGCTCTTCATTTTCGTTTTACCGGAGAGTTTTAGGGTTTTTCGAGGTGTCGAAACATTCTCATGAATATGTTGATTAGTCGATTTCGTTTTCATCGCCCAGGAAGCTGTTGCCGCGTGAAGACTAGATCTCCGCGAGTCGGAAGTCAATTTTCTTGATTTTCCACGCGTTTCCACGATATTATCGATTTGGGTGAAGGTCCGAAGGGCGGACTCCACGGAATCGCTCCGTTGGTAGGTGTTCTCAGGATTTTTGAAGTCACCAGTTAAAATTGGAGAGGCTATTGGTGAGCACTCGTTGATTGAGGCAGCTGAGAATGATTTTTCCTGAAAAGCTCTTGCCTCGCTGCGCGGAGATGACGAACGTGCGCTTTTTGAGACTCTCGTAATCTTGTGAGTGCTGTTTAATTTTTCGAGTTGTGGCGGAGGTGAGCGAGGCCTCTCTTTTTTTATTACTCTGTGTGGAGTGCCTTCCTGATATTTTTTCGGGAGCAGATCTTCATTGATGTCATCGAGGGATAATTTTCGATTGGATTGATTTTTCTTCTCGGTGAGAAGTAAATGATCCTTCAAAAGTTGGACCGATTTCAGCTGCTCGAAGGATGCTCGAGGTGCATTGAAATCATTCGATATCTCGAGCTCGTCGTTCTTCAAAGAAACCCTCGTTGGCGAGGGACTAGAAGTTTCAGCGGGCTCGGGTGAACTTGACAGCTCCATCTGCAGTTTTCTAAAAATTCTCGATTTTTCAGACTCCGATTTCTTTCCTTTTGGAAATTCATCGCGGATTCCTCTGAATATTGGCGAGGACCTGTCATCCGGCGAACTCCTGTCGAGAACCTCCTGCAGTTTATGAAAAGTTGTCCTCGAGTTTCTCCTTTTCGATGGTGAATCTATGATTTTCTCGTACGAAGATTTAACTACTACTGGAGGAGTTGCACTTCTCCCACTGCTCCTTCGTCCTCTGACTTCGTCAGTGTGGAAAGTATTCCGAAGTTTAACGAATGTATCTGATTTCTCAAATTCTGAAGTTCTCCGTGGATATTCTTTGATCCGGAAAAAGGACTCATTGTATTTCGCGGGGCTCGGACTTTTGTCTTTCCTGAGGGGTGCATCATCTCCGTTTGGGAATTTCTCCGAATCCTCCGGGGACTCTTGGTCGAGCTCCTTCTGAAGCTTTCGGAAGATTCTTGATTTTTCAAATTCAGACTTTCGACGCGGATAGCAACGGAATTCCGAGTCACTCCTCAAATTAGGACTTGATGAACGAGATTTGTCTGAATTTTTCAATGAGTCGAACTTGGAACTTTTGCTTCGATTAATTGATTCACATTCAATATCATCACCTTTCGATACCACTCGAAAAATCGGACTCTGGCCTCGAGGGGAAGCCCCAGCCTCCTTAACATTCTCCAATGCCTCCCAATTCCACTCTCTTCGTGGTACGCTACCTCCTTTGACCTCCGTAATTTTAGATTTCTCTTGGGGACTTGGAGTGTCCTCTCGGGTTGAAGTTCTCGAGCCTCTCGCACTTCGTGATTTGTTAAAAATTCCTTGCGCGCTACGATTTCTACAACTCCCCACAGAAGAAATGGAAATATTTCTTTTATTCTCATTGATTTTGCAGTTACCCGTGGAAATGGAATTTTGCATCTCGACGACACCTCTGACCCCCGATTGGCCATTTCGCTCTGGACTTTTACTTGTTCCCCGGAGAGACTCTCTTGATGCTCTTCTCCATTCGGGTGACTCTCTCCCGAGTTGAATTTTTATCATATTTCGGTAGGTCCTCGATTCCTGTTTTCTTCGATGTCAAGATTATTTGGTTTTCATAGGAATTCTTCAAATTTAATCAGCCCCACTAGCTTTTTGCTTTTATTAATCACCACATGAGATGATTATGGTCAACCTTTAGGGGTTAAAGTCATTCAAGCTGAGTTAGCGAGGCATACTGGGACATTTCAATGACATCAGCTTAGTATTTACTTATTACTCCCTGCTGTTGACTATGGAGATTGTTAAAGGTAACGGCTTTCAATTTTTATGGACATTTGTAATTGATGACTCGGTTCTTTCATGGACTTTTATTTATTTGCACCATTGAACGTTTAATGAACCAACTTTTGAGGGCCCCCGATAGTTAGAGATGATATCAATTATAGTACACGGAGAAAAAATCATTTTCATGAAAATTGTGGAAAATTTACGTTACGGGTCTTGATTGGAAACAATTTTTTTTATTTCATCCAAATGATTTTTTCTCAATTCACGAAAAAATGAGAAATTCCTCCTCTGATTATCAGATAATTACTAGGTAATTGTTTCGAAAATCTTTTCTCCGTGTATTTCAATTTTTGCTGCTCAAGCTAGTTAATCTCCTCGATTTTAATATTAGATTAGATACACTTTAATGAAGATAAAGTTGAGAATATTTACCTTGGGGCTGTTTCATTTTTCTTCTTAAGTGAGGTTTCTTTTTTTGTGATTCCAAATTTGGTCCGTTCGGCTGGTCTCGCCCGATCATTTCCACTGATTCCGTATGTGTGTGGCTGATAAAATATTATTTTGCTTGAAAAATATTCGATACCCAAGAAAAATAAAAGGGAATCTATTGAAATTGATGGTGTACCTCCTGATTGGTACTGTTCCACTCAGATAAATCATTTTCATTATAAAATTCGTCCAGATCGTCCTCTCGGTGAACAATTTTTGGGCCAAATGTGTCGCGCGTCACTGCCTCATGATAATTGATAACAGGCTTTCCATTATTGACATTGCCATTGGCATCGGCACGTATCGTACGTTTAACAGTGACCGAGTGTCTGCTGGATACTGTATTGCCGTTTTTCTGAGCCCCTGGGCCAGTGGTTTTTCGTGGTTTATTTTCAAGGGGCTCCAGGGGATAGCTCCTATCGATTCCCTTCACCGTTGTCTGTCGTCTCTCGTCGAACATTTGTCTTACCTTCAGGAAAATTGAAAGATACATTTCTAAATTGAAAAAAAAATTGACGACACCGGTTCCTTTTTGGATCCACTAGATATCAGACATCAATGTGTTTAATTACTAATTCATTGACACGTTTCAATATTTATATTGTCATTTCGCGGTCTCAATTTTAGGTATCCGATCAAATCAATCAATCATATCGGCAGTTACCCCCAAATCCAATAAGCTAGCACTTGAATTCTCTCGTTAATCAAATTGTCCCGTACAACCACTGCTTCCTACCTTTCCACCTTGGGAATTAGAATGACTTGTAGTTGTGGTTCTGGTTACAGTCTGGGTATTGGTACCGGAACCCGATCCATTTGAGGTATTCGATCCTGCACTACCCCGTTGAGCTACCTGATGAGCTCTCTGCTGTTGTTGATCATAAAGTTGAAGTAATTTTTGCTCCTTCTCCATTAATTGACGCTGTTGAAATCTCGCCTGGAATTTTATCCTGTTATTTTTTACAGTGCTCGGGTCGCCGTTTGAAATCAAATCGATGACAATATATTTCAAATATATTATATATAAAATGTCATTCTAAAGAAAATTAGTGTAGAGTTTTCGTTACGTCTGAATTTTTTTTAAGGAATATAAGCAATTTCCCCGCATGGATCGACCAGGGCATTGAAATATTTATGAATCAAGCGAATTTTCGTGGGGCAAGGTATATGGAGGCGCCCTGCTTGTGTGCTATCTTTATTGATTTTAATTCCATCCCACGTGGCTTGGGGTTATCAAACCCATCTGCTACAGCTGCCCTACCAAAACAACTGCTCTACACAATCCCCTATTTTATAAAATAATTCTTTCAATGTGATAAAAAAAAATTATATCCCGGCTTTTTCGTTTGTGAATGGGATTTTACAATTTTTTTCTCGTAAACTTGAATGAAAAAAGTAATGATTTACGTTGATGTCGGCTTGGGAAAGGTCAGGGGTTGTGGAAAAGTCAGTTTCTTAAGGTCAGGCCTCAGTTGAATCGGAGCAGCTGCCGGAATAACAAACAATTTATGTAATTAGCTTTAAAAGTATATTGAACCAGACTTGGCGAATCACGGAATGAAGCACACGGTGTGCCGATCGATTTTCACCTGCACCGTAGACAATTTATACCCGCGACCCTCACTTACGTCGCATCATGGTCTCACTGGGTTATCATAGGGACTTTATAGCGTATATGTCTTGAAAATTAGGTAACTGGGTAAATCCGAATGCATAATTGAAGCATTCCGTCGAAATACTCAACATAATTTTTTCCAAATTTTTTTTTATTTTCCTTCGTGCAAAAAATATATTGATGCTGTTTGAAATTTTGATAACAAAAAATAATGATTGGAAATTTTTTTCATTGGAATCGTTATGGACTGGTGGAAATGATGGAAATGGTTCAATTGATGTGGTGTGGGCTCTCCCGAATGATTTCTCGCTATTTGCAACATAACTGTTCTATTTAATTGTATCGTACCATATTCGCAAGATTAGTCGCTGAAGTAAGTCCTTGAGCTGCCCACGGGGTTTCAATGTTCACAGAAACACCTCTCGATCTTGTCATCTACTCGTTTTTTTTTTAATTCTACACTGGTGGGAATGATATTTTTAATTGATTATTAGTGTGAGGGAGTTTGCGGTTTATCGCAGCAGTCATTATTGGCAACCATGGATTTTTAATCATTATAACGTGTTGATCATGGTTTATTTTAACGGTTGGCTGGATGGATAATGAATGCTCGGCTGTCACTTGCATGTGGCTCGATTTTAAAATAATTTCGCTGAATTTAATCAGGGAATTAATGTAATTTCATTGGGGGAAAATGGTGGAAGTGATTTTGCAATACGTGTTGTCACGTTGGTGGTTGCCATCACAACTAAACTGACGGCTGTGTTTTAAGAATATGTTAGGGGTGATGGGTTGTTACTAAAAACGTGGGTTCACGCATGCGTCGATGAATAAAACAAGTGGATAATCATATTTTCAAAATTTTAAGTCAAATATAGGAGTAATTATCGTGAGGGCGACGTGAATTGGATACACGAGAAAAATAGTGACGGAAATTCAAGTGTTCGGGAGAATTCGAAAATTTTTTCGATCATTCATTATTTAATTTGTTATTATTAATTTGTCTAGTCAGCTCAGAGAAATTTTGGATGGAAATTCGTCAAGCCCAAATGATTCAAGGAAATCTTCGTCGTTAAATGATGAAAGTCGGAATTCGTAAGGCACATCCCACGTGATCGGAATTAAGAAAAAAAAAAATCCCCTTTCCCATCTGATAGTCCTCGACCTTGCGTGACGAAACCATTGACTCGCCCATGCGTCAGTAATTGCTCTCTGAATGCCGGTGAAATCATTATTACTTCGGGTTTATCCCACGTTGTTTTGTGTAAATATAAACAATTCTCTCGGAAGTCAGTGCGGGAAATGCGTTTCTGTAATCAGGTGGAATCGATGTTTATGGTCGTATTTCGTGTTCCATGAATGGATTTTTCAGAATACAGAAGGGTTCAACGTCTAGAGCTAATCTCACGCGTTAATTTCACAACCTTTTTCCTCTCTTGATTATTATAATTACAAGACCTCCAGCGCACTCGGAAATTTTTTTACCTCAAGTCTTCTTTATCTCGAAATTTAATATGATGTTTGAATACTTTTCGTTTTGTACCGAATGATTCAATCACTCAATAAATCATCGCGCCCTCTTATCAAATAACTCGTCGCAATCCAAGACATCCGGCATTAAACAGCATTGAACCCTTCGAGCTTGGCTGAATTCATTCTGCATCAATCGGTTCATCAATGAAATCTTTCAAAAATAGATTCATATGCAATCCGATCAACTCTAACCGACAAATTACGAAACACTCGGAGTTTTCCGTAACGAATGGTGGATTCGATTGAATATATCGATTCCAATAACAGATCGATTAACTATATTTTTTTCCCAGAAATATTCTCTCTGGAAGATTAAAAAATGGATAAAATTCATGTACCCACGCATTTTGTAGTGATTCAGGTGACGTGGCGTATCCCGTTCACAATTTTTTTTTATTAACATTAAGATCCTGAGAAAACACCCACACGTACCGTCCCAATACTGGTCCGACATCCAGTGACTCATCCATATCCATTCCGAGTCATTCGTTTCTGTTTCCTCGTGATAAAATTTTGTGACTGATGTCACTGGAGTGGTCTTCTATTCAACGATAAATAGAGAGGGACTCATTTGAACTTTCAAGCCGCTGATATTTTCCCCGTAACAATTTGGCAGGGAAAGTTTACGAGCGAGAGGAAATGACGTCACGTCAGTATCAAAACCATCCCAAGTTTTAAAGTTGCGCATGGCTTGCCAACCGCAATAATTCCTCCAATGATTTCCTCGCAGACATGAATATTCCTTGAAATCTTCATTTGATTTTCATTATAATTCATTTGGTAATGAGTAGAAACATGTGCGCTATTTTGGTCGCAAAAAGGAAGAGCTGGAGGGGAATAAATTCATTTAGCTAGTAGTTTTCGAGAAATTTCTCTGACTCTAAGAGGAATAGGAAAACTTTTTTCGCCATCTTTTCCGGGGTCTCAATTTACTCTCACAAAATTTTTTATGAATTCTGGTATTTTTATTAATTTATTTTGTGTAGATATTTAATAATGGGGGGAATTCTATTTCACGAATGATTTACAGGACGCAATGATTTAGATTGGATAAGTTATTGGAAACAACTATCTGTGGATGAAAAAGGAAATGTCCAAATGGTCTGTGGATACGACATTAATTCGATTTATTTCTTTTTTTTTTGGTGCAGGCACAAGTGGGTCGTTGTCGAGGTCATACTGGTTGGGACAAGATGCCGTATATGCACTTGCATGACACGTCGGAGTCTGCAAACAAGCCTGGACCATTCCGGAATTACGAGACTCTCGATGGTGACTCGTAAAAGTCAATAAATTAAATAAATTTCAATCACGATGGCTCCGATACTCGAGGTATTCCGATATTTTTCGTCTTACCTGAAGCAATTCGAGGCGTGAAGATGTTTGAGGAGCAGCCATTGCTTATGCCGCCAAACTGAAAATTAATATTAAAATATTCAAAACCAACTGAAACCGCAAGGAATTTTTCCGTTTGAAAATCGGAATTCTGATTGAAGAATGAATTATAATTAATTTAGCTGAATATTTGTATTTGATTTAAAGATCCAAATGATTTCGCATTTGGTGTCGGTGCCCTGAAAATTAGTAGTCAGTCCTCCATAAAATGAATTTTTTTTTTTAAAGGGTATATGACCCTCTGTCGACCCGCAAAGGGTCGAATGAACTTATCCCTCCAATTGATATCCTCCTAGATATAACAAATTCCTCTCACGTATCTCTGGACTGTGTCAAGGCGGATGACATTACCAAAAACAGTTCCTACAGTGTCACGACGAATTGAGACTGTCTGGTCTTGAATGAAAATTCTCATAATAGAATAATTCCATAACAGTCCCTCCCTAATTGCTCAATATAAATTAAATCACCCAGTTATAAAAAAAAACATCATTTCTGTCGCAGTCTTGGGATTCTTCAATGATTTCCTGGAAAATATGACAGTAATTCTCAGGACTGGGACATTTAATCGAATTGGGGTAAAATTCTTTAAAGAAGTGAATTATCTCGATTTTTTATGAATTTCGTGGATCATAAATAATTTTCAATGAATTAAAACACAAATATTCAGTCTTCCTTTAAAAAAATGTCTCCGAACCTCAACGTAATTTGAACAATAAAAATTCCCGGCTTTGACTTTCGATAAAAATTAGAACGAAATGAGAGAAACGGCCGATTTAATTGGAATAAAATTCATTAATTAAGTTAATTAATAATAGTCGTCGCCAACGAGGGAACTAGGCATACTGACCTTATTTCGGCTGCCGGGACACTTCCACGGTAAAAATAAAATCAAAATAGGAAACTGAGTTAGAAAAGGGGTATTTTTATGCGGTAATTGTTGGATACGTCCTATCTGGGGGAGGCACAGAGTCATACTGCTATAAAACTGACAGTTAACCGGTGTTATCCCCTCTCTCTGGCTGGATAACTCCTTCTCCCTTCCCTTGGGTATTTTAATTTTGCCCTGTGTAGTGGTATTGAATTGAATTGCTGTGGAGCCGGTTATCAACCCGGGCGTTAGTGCAATAAGAGCCAAGACGGTTCTGTCAGACAAAACAGTGGAGTTCGGACTCTTGAAGATGTTCGCTTCAGCTGGTTTCTATACCTCTTGTCAGGCCATGAAGAATGTTACACTTGAGGAAGAGTTATAAGTACTGTAATTTGTGAGTTATGAGGGATTTTTACCGTGAATATGAGGATGGGGCGGGCAGATAGAGGAGTTCTTGACAATTTCAACTTCAAGATGTTGGAGTAGAGCAAAATATAGATTTGGTGTTGTCAGTTTGTCATTTTTCAATTTCTTTTGCAGTTCATAATTGAAGCCCGCGGGGAATTATTTTTCATTTTCCCTTTTTTCCAAAATATTGAAAATTTCAAAGATAAA